CGCATCTCAATCCATTCAGCATCGAGGGTGGTCTCTGGTTTCCGCCATTGCCACCACTTCTCGCCGCCCACTTGCCGGATGCCATCGGGACCCAATTGCGTTTGCAGTAATTGAGCGGCGCGCGTCAACTGGTCTTCAGATATAGTGACATGTTCGACTTTGACCCATTGAGGATGCGGCACCCATTGCGCGGTGAAAGCCTGAAGCTCTTCGACAGTGTGGTGTGACGCATACTCGAGGAACGATCGGATCAGATGGAGACCTTCATCGTAAGAGAGATGAGCAGTTGGGCGCTGTCGAAGGGGTTTCCTGTTGAAATACTAAAGGTTGCGAGTTAGTTATCGAGAAAAAGCAATCAATATTATGTAGTGTCTTGAATGAATGCCAATACTGATTGCTTTGCTTGTCCCCGCAAAAAGGATGCAGATCGATTGCATGATACGATGAGTGTTTACGTACATGAGAAAATAAAGTAGATACGACGGTTGGCGTCACAGCGAATGAGACGGAGGTAGTGTTGAGGTAGTTCATAGCTGTCTGTAAGGCTGTCTTTGTGGTTGCTTGGTACTCGTACACGACAGTTTAGTAGCTATTAAAGACGCGCCATCTGCCACAAAAAGCTTGTCAGAATGAAGACAAAGGCAGAGACATCCAGTTCGTTCAGGCTCAGCTGAACCGAAAACCTAATGCTAGTCAGGGTCTCATGATGTCATCCATCCCTGACCTGGGTGAGAAGTCAATGCATCGGGGCATCCAATTCTTACCCCTGACTCCACGGATGGACGCGCTGTGGGCAGAGTGAGTCGCTCTCTTCATTAAAAAGTGGCCTGTGCTTTCTCTTTGTGGGGAGATTTCCTGCCAAGAAAGCAAGTAACGAATTATAGATTCTATAAGCAGGATGTTATAGCTCTTCAAATCTTGGAAACAGTAGGAAAATATTCCAAGTTTGGCAATAATTCATTCTCTTATAATCTGGGTATTTGCTTCATCTAAGAAAAATCAAACAATTCATTCTACCTAGATAGAACAAATGACAAATAAACATCATCCATATCTCGAGGTCCAGATTATGTGGGCCAGCCAGGCCAGCATATCCTTAGGCCTGGCGGGTGGGGTCCAACCTGAATGGTGAAAAACACCAAAAATTTTGTGCAGAACCATCTTCTTGAAATTGCCCCTCCAAACCCCGCCAAATCCATAACCACAATCATGGCTTCTACAGAACCCGCACAGCTGCCTCCGGCTGGTAAGTCAAGTCTAGTATTCCGAGTCAGAAACCAGCCCTGGATTAACGAAACAAATCTACAGCCGAGCGTCAATCCGAGTTCGAGCAAGCTGTCGCATACGCCCTGCACCTTTGGCCTGCCCTTACACTATCCGTCCAGAACAACTGGGGCGGTCCCGACTCTGCCGACAAGCGCGATTGGTTTGCTGGCGCCGTCGTTGAGCTGTTCCCCGAATATACCGACACACCTCCTAGGAATGGCAGGGTTCCCGAGGATCCTGATCTGGAGGAGGTAGAGACTGTCCTGCTACAGGTCATGATTGACGAATTTGAGGTCAACGTCGACGACGATTCAGGCACAGAGGTGGCCGCCAACATTCTCCGTGCTCGCGCAAGCTGCACCCTGGGAACCTATGACGAGGTGAAGGCTCTGCGCACCCGCTGGTTGAACCGCCAGGGTACAAAGGTTGAGGGCGTATTCAAGAGGGTTGAGGACGACGACCAAGACACAGACTGGAGTGATGAAGATGATGAAGACGATGAGGGTGGTGCTGACGTTGAGATGGATGACGCTCCTGCTCTGGTTGCGGCACCTAAGGAGAAGCCCCAACCTCAGGTGGACGAGGACGGCTTCACCATGGTCACCAAGAAGAAGAAATAAGCAACCACAGCGAAAACAAAAAAATGTGGCGTGGGCAAGAGATGACGGTCACATATCGGAGTTCTTGGTATTTCAATATCAAGCTACAGGATTTGGTTCAAAATGCCAACCACAAAATACCGAACGCCGAGCTGGACAAGCGAAATCCGATCGTCCCAAGCATACACTAACCCAATTTCAGGCTCTATTCCCAGTCCTCATCACTATCTGAATCATCGTCGCTGTCTTCCTCGTCGCTACTCTCTGCCTTCTTCTTGGGATCCTTTGAGTCCTTGGGACTGTTGGGAGTCTGGGTTGTCTTTCCAGAGGCAGCGCCGACAACATCATAGCTAGCTTCGCTATCGGCCTGTGACTTCTCGTCGTTGGATTTGCGGGGCTCAGCTGGCTTCAGGAGGGGCTTTGCGGGAGGTTGTGTAGTGTTGGAGGAAGCAGTAACAGGGGTGGCAGGGGTAGCAGGAGCGGCCTTGGGCACGGTCTTGTTTTCAGTCTTGAGTTCAGTTTTGGGCTCAACCTTGGTCTTGGTCACGGGTGTGCTGGTATCGGCAGAGTCGTCGGAGTCGTTATCAGAATCGTCGTCACTCCAAGCAACGTCATCCTCAGCAGAGGCAGCTGTTTGTTTGTTAGTGGCTTGCTGTTAAGATGTTACAATTAACTCACCCTTGAGGAGATCTCGTCGTCTAGCTTCGGCCGTCTCAATGCCGTGACGAAGGAAATAGTAGCGCTTCCAGAAATCAACGTAGGGAACCTGGTCGGGAACCAGCTTCTCCATGGTAGCCCGTAAGTCGGGAAATTTCTGCAGATCACCATTGATATCAGGTGTCTTTTTATCAGCATCAAACTCCTTCGACCAAGCAGCATAATCAGCACTGTTAGGGTCCTTTGTGAAACTCTCAATCGAAGTGTGAATAACATGTAGTTGAGCATCGAATCTTGAAGTATGGATCACACGTTTACCCTGTGCGTCCTTACTTTCAAAAAGAACAGCACCATTCTGGTCAGACTCCTGAGGCGGTGCAATGCTAACAGCATCACGGAGGAAGTTTCGGACGTTGCCACCAAACTTAATAAGAGCTTCATCAGCAGCTTCCTCGGCTCGCTGAAGGTCCTTCAACCTCTTGGCAGCTTCGGCTCGAAGACGAGCAAGGGTATTCTCAGATTGTTTCGCCTCTTCCGAGCCATCCTGAGAAGCCCTTGGGGTGGTCTGATCTTTCTCTCCGTCTTTTGAGTTCTCACCTGCCGTGGCAGTATTAAGTGAAAGGTTCCTTGTATGGCTCAATATAGTTGAGCGCAGACTAGTGAGTCCTTTTGACGCATCCTCGCCTACTTCTGCCAGCTCCTTTGATGCTTGTGTATACACCGATTCACCCTATCCATGTTAGACAGACCAAATTTATGAAGTGAGATCTCGTACCTGCTTGGCCACAGTGCCAAAGAAACCACCAATCTTGGCACCCCATGGACTGTTGGAGAATGCCTTATAGGCGTCTTGGAGATCCTCATTCAGAGTTGACTGGGGTTGGGTAGTCTTTGGCTCTTCTGTCTTCTTAGCGTAGCCATCTTCTGTAATATGATCGTAAGCCAGATCCATGGCGTCGAGCTAGGTATCGTTCTAAGTTTGTGTATTTCAAACTATGGCCTTGAATCTCAATTTTGATAGCGAATTGATCGTTCAATTCGTTGAAGGTCACTTCATTCGATATCTCCTGTCGTTGACTTGGATCTCCCTTGTTCTGATTTGAGCCTCCTGACCGCACTGGCGGGGTCCAATGGCGGTTGGGCACGGGCCATTTTACTCACGTGATTTATCTGTCTCATCATGACACCTAACCTAGAGTCTTATTGATGTTGCAATGTATGTTCGATCATGACGATCATATTCCTTGTACTTGACGATGATATCGTGGTTTCTGTATATCCTGTGTATACTTTTCGTATACTACAAGCATGGCGCGTATTTTACATATGTGATAAGCCTACAATTAACATGCTCTTCTCTATACATGATTATAGTTGTAATGCGCAAGCTCACACATCTACAATGTGCCAGTAGTTCAATCAATCACATCTCACTCAACAAGAGCCCAACTACCCGATGCGCTGGTCATCGTAACCGAAAGGCGTTAAAGATGCTAAGCTTACCCCCCGCTTTAAAATGCATGTCGGGGTTTACGACGAGGGGAAAGTGGCTGGAGACGACCGATCGATGCGCTGTCTTTGGGTATTGAGTCATCTTGGCCTATGGCAGGTATCGTAAAAAACAACAAGGTTTATGCGATATGGGCTTAATGAAGGAATACGTAGACTCGGTTGAATCAGGTATAGTATGTCTCTAGAACAACTTGCAGGCACTATTCCGACAAATTCGGTCGAAAAATATCAACAGATGTGCTAAACTTTGCCTCGGCCCCCAAGGCTGCAGTACCTGAGCTTGCGAGTATTCTGACTGCAAATATTCCATTAACTGTCCTACTCCTAGATTGTGGTTGCAATATGTGCCAAACGAACCCTTGACACTTCGGAGAAGATGGTGTTGATACCCTTGAGATCCTCAACATGGAGGGACCCTGAATCCGTGACATTCCCGAACATTCTCACGTGCTCGAATTCCCCCTCTACCGTAGGTTATCGGTGGCATTGCGATATGCTTATTCATGAGTAACCAAAGGCAATTCCTTGTTTACTTCGGTTGACGTAAAACCGACTCGATCGTCGGCTTCACACGGACAGCAATTCCGTCTAAAAAGATCACTTGACCCGATCGTGATCAGAGAAACGACCTAGAACGGGCTACGACATGCCGCCATATGCAGCTCGGCGTGTCAGGATTGGCTCCAAGGAAAGGGGCATCGACATGGCGTTGAAGCTTAGCTTTGAAAGAGGTGAGCTTTGGAAGAGTCATGTCGTCATCGCGCATCGTAGCTGCTGGTCTGAGTGACCAATCAGAAACGTGTCCCTGAATCGTGGATCCAAGATAATCCTCCAAAGTGGGAGCCTCAAGTTGGCCTGCAAATGATCATCAGTCTTCCCGAGCCTCGGATAAAACCGCCACCCAATCATGAAACTGTTTATGAAAACTAACTCTGGCACGAGGATCCTCCCCGGACGCAAACAATAATGCGGGTTTTAGTTAGAGGCGTTGACGATTCCTTGGCTCCTTCCCCCAAATTGGACTTTCCCATGACTGCTATGACGCAGTGGACAGATAGCTTAAGAATCCAGACTGTTCTAACACGGCAACTGACGTCACTCTCAATCGTGATCGCGTAGTGCCCCGCGACGCTCCTGCCCCTCAACTGCCTAGATGCAGCAATTGCCTAGAGTTTGAATGTGAATCACTGCCATGCCGCTTTCCTCACAAAGAACTACTTAAACCCCGATCCCTCCCACCTTCAATCTTCTCTTCTATTCATCAACACATCAATCCAATACTCACTCACAAACACAAACACTTTCAAACAACCCAACCCCAAACAACCAACCACTATCACAATGGAGTCCCTCAAGCAAGCTGGCAACTACGTCGCTGAGACCGTTCAGCAGGCTACCTCTGGTGCTTCCAAGGAGGCCAACAAGGAGGTTGCCAAGGATAGCAACGTCGCCGCCGGTACCCGGTATGTCTTCTCATCTTCGATAACAATAATACCACGCTAACATATCCATCTAGTGTCACCGCTGCCAAGGATGCCCTGTCCGACAAGTTCGAGGAGAAGTCCCACGAGGGCAAGGCCGAGGTTCACAAGGAGGCTGCTAAGCAGTAAATCGAATAACGACATGACACGGAAATCACTTTCTGAAGAAATGGATCGCAACGGCGTTGAAAGGGAATAGCGTTGGGACTACATAGGCTGTATACACTTACACCTAATACAAACAGTCAAATACCAAAACTTCTCACTAAATGATTTCGAAATGTTGTGGAGTTCCATATGCTACTTTTGTACTTAGTCTAGGCCCTATTAACTTAACCTTGACGACATTCCAAGGGTGGCCATTCTCCAAGATTTCAGAAAAATCGGCCTGGAAGCATAAGAGACGAAATTAGTAGGACACTTTATGCTCCTTACATTATGGTTCTTAGACTACTTATTCTCATACCCAAAATTTAAGAGGCCATTTATCTGCTACCCACTAGCTAACAATTCCCACACTGACTCCTTATAACTTGAATCTGTACCTATGTCTGTTGAGCAGTATTCGTCAGGAACGCCTCGAGGCTGATGCTGAAGTGAAGCATTTGGGTGCCTCAAAGGAATAAGACTTGGCTAAACTTCAACTAACTAAGGACTGGAACCTTTCGTTGGGAGACCTCGTCATCGCCAACTTTACTGAGCCATGAATTCCATCGAGCTACGATCGGATGGAACCTTACAACATTGCGAGATATTCCAGTCATCCTCGGTCTGAGTATGGGGACACTGGACCATTTCCTTGAGACTCGTTTTCCACCATAAAGTAAATGGATTTGGCCATTACTCCCCTGATTTTGCAAGCACTTTAGTAAAAGTGCTATGGGATTACTTTCACAGCGTCTCAAACATAACGAAGCTGTTACCTGCAAATCCCACGATTCCTACTTTCTCGGTTTCTCAACCTACACTTGCGAAATGCAAACCTCATAGACAAGACCAGCATTCAACAAAATGGCACTTTATTGAACCTACACATTCACGCTTCACCCCAATTTATCTGGTGCCTCTATCAACCCAAGACTCTAATACATCCACTAATGGCCTTCCACAGGAAAACTTTCCTGGTGTTTAATGAACCATTACCTCTGTTCAGGCACCTCGTCCTATACTGAAACTTTCTCTTTAGTTTATAACCTTGCTACTACGTCTGCAGCAACTGATATCGCCAGGCACAAGGGGCAGGCATAAGACGAGCCACTGGTTTTGTCCCATGTGTTTCTAGCAGCTGATTCCTGCTATTATATCTGTTGCGATCCTCTTGTTAAGGGCCGGGAATTCCTTCATCTTAGACAGACGATGAGGCTCACAAGACCTTGATCACATGCTGAAATTCGGTGTGATAGCTCCTGGTCGCTTCCAAAAAAGCGGTAGTAAGAAAAAGGATATGATCCTGCGTAATCTGGGAATCGAACCCAGGGCTCCCCGATGTCGCTTGAATGGCAACGGAGAATTTTACCACTAAACCAATTACGCTTCGATATTTAATTTGCAAAAATTTAACATTATGAGGTTCGCTCCACATGAGAAATGGCGTCTAGCCGATATCCTTTGTTGATGGGCGGTCAGTGTCTAAGTGCATTCACTTCAATCTTGTACCGCCAACGCATGTCAGTTTTGAAGATTGGCTTTGCTGCGAAAAGTCTTATTCATCCAGAAGTTAGATTTGCTATGATTTACATTATCCCGTTCATGTACAAACTCAATTATCCAACATCCAATATTGTTAATGTTAAATTCAAGGTTGCCAAACTGCTTCAATGATACTCATCCTACACCCCTCTGGCCGTGTCACACCCTTTAAAACCTGTCAGTACGGTGATTAGGGGAAGTCACTTAACAAATAACTTACCTTGAAAACGAATCGCTCGTCAGCAGCCTTGAAAAGCTCCTCAAACTCCTTTTCCGTTCGCTCTTGGGAGTTTAGAAGAGTCAGCATCAGTAGATCCATGCTCCGCATAAGCTTCTCATCCCAGTTGTTCTCGACTCCAGGCTCACGGAGACAGTGGTCGTTGATGATTATACGGGCCCCAGGTTTAAGAGCCGGGATAAGATTCTTCAGAATTGTGACAGCGTAATGCGAAGCAAGGTTATGAAATATCCACCTAAAGAAAAATACTTCATTTTGGTCAGCTGAAATCTAGTAGCGATGGTCCACGCTGCATCTTACCATCAGCGCCCTTGGCAGGTTGCTCCGTGAAGAAGTCGTGGGCCTGAAGCGATATACGTTGGGTTATCCCTTCATCTTCGCATATGGGATTCGGGGCGCTGCCGACAGTTTTTGGCAAATCTTGCACAACGAATTTCACCTTGCTCCATTTCCTAGCCAAGTCCACGCACACAAAGCCATGGCTACCGCCGACATCTACGAACGTCCCTTCATTGGCGTCCACCTTGGAAAAGTCGTAGTTGTCGACGAAATGGCCGACTTCATAGCCCTCTCCACCGGTGAGGCTTGCCATTGCTACAGCGAATCGCTTTCCTCGTGGGGGGTCTTTGCCAAAGGTTACAAACATGGGCTCTTTGTCGACCGTTCCCCAAGCATGGTTGAATCCGGTCCGCGTAAGTAAGGTAGCCTTTGGGTCGGCACGGAGAGCTTCCAAGGTATGTGCTCCAGCTGGGAAGAAATCCTCTCCGTTCAAGCCCACCCAAGCTTGAAGGTTGGCATCTTGAGCAAGGATCTTAGAAGCAGCACTGTGTGCTATAAAGCCCGGTATGGGTTCCTGAAAGATACTGTTCGTCATGGCATGACGCAGAGCACGCGCCAAATTGACGGAATCCAGTGTGGTTTTAGTTTGAAGATCTCCCAAAGAAATGGGCTCGTCCAACGGGACAAGATCGTCTTTTGAGTATCAGCAAAGAATCTGACTGCATAGTAGGCATTCTCACATATCTTAAAACTGTTGAGAATCTGAAGACTCAACGTGTCTAGATACTTTTTTTGTTAGTTCCAAAGGAATTACCCGAAATACAAAGACTTACACTCCATATGCCCCATCTGATAGTTTCTCTGGGTCCTCTTACGAGAAGTTCTAGTTGTTTTGTGGCCGATGAAATCTCCAGTCGGCATTTCTGTATGTCCTCTGGTAGCCTAGGGAGGTCATTGGGGGCATTGGTGCCAAACCCCAGATCTGGAAGCCCGTTGCTTTTGAAATAATTGTCAAGCTTTTCTGTCTCTTGGGCAATCTTCCTCGCCAACTGTACCATGAGAGATGTCTCTAAGCTTGGCGAGCCATGCGAGTATGGCGGAGTAAGTTCTTCTTCGCCCATGTTGACAAAATTCGCGATGTAGTCGTGCTTCACGGCCAACGTTGCAATACGTAGTACGGCTTTGGGGTTGCGTGATTTTATATATTTCAGATTTCCATTGATGGCCTGGGATAATTCGAAACTGCAGACGACCAGCAAGACCCATGCGGGTAGTGGGTATGTCCAGAACGTGGTTGGCTTGAGGTATTCCACCTATTTGCACCACCCTCATTCCTGGTAGCGTGAATTGAAAAAGTGGCGAGATGTCTTTAGGCCAAGTCTATCTCAATAAGAACCTTCTTGATTGGCGTGTATTCTGCAAGTTGTGGCATTAATCCCTGAAACGAAGTCGAGAAATGATATGGGAGTAGTACATAAAGTACATGACTGGGATTATTTATCGCGATAACACCGGTTTGGTTAGGCCTTGAGCCCATCCGATCCCCTGTTCCTCCTCTCCGCAGGCTAGTTCCGAAGCTAACATGGATGTAATGGTGTGGGCGGCACGAAGCCATGTTCATATTAAGCCCCATGGAGCTTGGCCGCCTTTGGCTGCATTAGTGGACCTGTGCGATGGTAACCTTTCACACTTTCTTCATGTTGGAATTCTTTCCCGGTGTTTTGAACGTTTCTTCAGAATGATATGACATTTATGGCACGTAAATTATTGTGGAGAAACGGTATGCATTCATCAACTGAAGATTCTCATGTGCGAACCAGGTGAATAGATTATATAGGTAATGTGTTATGGATCGTTGTACTTTTGTATATATGAGCAAGATGTGGTGGCGCCGTCTAACATCAACTCGTGGGTTGTAGTACAGGTTGACGAATGTGCCTTTAATGGCATGAGTCCATCGAATCGGTTAGACCCAAGGCTAATTGCGCCTGGCACTTATTTTTGGACCAGACTTGCCTCAGCAGAGTTGGCATACATGAGCAGTTCGTATCGGAGCAAAAACAGCGTCCACTCAGCATTCCAGTTGGCATCTATAGTGGCCCAATGTTATGATGGCGTCCCTCGGGCCGGCAGGTCCTTGGTTGCAGAACAGCATTAAACTATCGGTGATCTTATGTATTTTTACCCCTTCTCTCTTTTTGTATGTTCCAATTCGGTGCTTTTAGTACGGCTTCTGACCATACACGATGTGCATGGGCATGTATAGCAACGCCGTGTTGTCACTGTAAGCCCTTCGCACACTAACAAGAAAGACTTCAATCTGCTCGCGGCTCCATCCCATCCCTCTGGACATAGGACCGAGAGCAATGGCTTGGATGCCATCGTTTAATATTGTGCGCCAATAGAGCCCGACAGTCTTGAGAACTTGATTCTTAGGCCAAGTTCCAAGAGGGACGTGAAATATTCGTTCAGTAACATTAATAAAACCGGCCGATTGCATCTTAGCAGCCAACTTGCCACCTGCTGCGGCAGGGAAATCTACACCGAGTGCTGCAAGGCCTTCGTTGATGTAGGTCCAGTATTGTGCAATTGGGTGATCGTATGGCTGGATGGCTTCACCTGTTCTTGCGTTGTGAGGGTAATGGTGAATCTCCTGGAGCTCCATCCAGCCTCCAGGCTTCATGTGTCTTTGCTTGCATGAGTATGATGTTGGTGGAATGGCGTTGGGAGTTTGGTACTCACTGTAGGGCGCTATCAAACAGCCGAGGCCAGTCTTTGACCGCTTGAACGGTATGACGGGAATGAATATAATCAAAGTGATTCTGGGGATGAAGCCAGGAAGACTCAACATCGTCAACCATAAAGTGAACGTTGGGTGGCAACCAAGTTGGTTGTATGGGCGAGAGGTCGATACCGAGAACATTGGCACTGGGATATTGCTCGCCCACTATTTTAGTGTTAGATGTTGGAACGTACACGCATGAAGCAATGTGGTCTTACTCTCTATCGCCCATATTCCTGTGCCAGTTCCAATGTCAAGGATATTCTGAGGGTTGTCACCGAGAGGCGCAAAATGCAGTTTCTGGCCTGAGAGAAGTCTGACCATGGCATGCTTCATGTCTTCTCTCTCCTGTTCCACGTCATCGTTTGGAAAGTTATATGCCCCGGCGCGAAAGCTGTGGTAACGGCGGCCATTCTCGAACATGTAATCCCGAACAGATGAGCCAATAGATGTACTCGCAGAGCTCATGTTATCGCTCCCATATCCAGCATCGTCCGTGGAATTGTACTCGTCACTGTCTGCGACGATGGTTTCTTCGGCCTGAGCGAGAGCCTGTCGAGACATGGCCTCCTGCTCTGTAACCGACATTTCCGGGAACATTGAGATTCCATTCGGGTGAGTAAGTGGCGACGTAACCCCGGGGTCATTGCGTCGACACTGTTCGGAGATGTCTGAAGCAGGAAAGTCTGTTGTACGATCCATTCGGGGGTATTCCTTCAAGGCATCATACGGTTTACTAGTTTTTGTAAGGGAGTTAACGCTGTTATTGCTATGATCCAACATGGTTCGTCGAGTTTCTGATATCTCGCGGTCGCTTGACTTGACAACATTAGGATGCAATTGGCCATGAACAGATAATTCATCATAGTCAGTAGCATCCTCGCGTTGTCTCTTATTGTGCGGTCCCTGGTCCATCGTAATTGAAGTGTATGTGTAAGTGACGGAAGGAAGACGGGTATAACGAAAAAGCAGTTGGCGTCTGGTCGACTTGGTGCGGATATAAAAGGACAACTTTAATGTCTAAATAATGGATGGCCGACGATCTGCGTAGGCTCGGGCTTCGTCACGGGCCTCGAGATTTCGTAAAAGGGTAGCGAATGAAAACGAAGATTGAAACAGCATGCGCGGTCCGATGACGATGTTACCGACTCGGGTAGATCTGAATGTCAAGGAGTTGTTGTAAGGGCAGTTGGTTGGTATAATGATATTTGGTGTCAAAACCACATGGATAACAGGCGCAAAAGCAAGCGGATCCCAAGCAATGTGTTTGAATGAAACAACTTCTGCAGTTGCAGGAGGAGAGTTGCATGTCTAGAAGAAAGAGGCGCTTGAGAATAGGTAAGTACAATAGCTACCTCCTGAACATACTTAGACCAGCGTAGGCTCGTTCATCCTACCCGCACCTGCTGTAGGTAGGTACCTTCCATGGAGCAAACCAAAAGTTGGTGGGGCTTTTGTAGGCAAGGGACGGGCCCGACAGCAGTTGGTTGCGGTATAGATCGTGCCAAGAAAGTGGCAGATTGCCGCCACTTGGATTATAAATACTGACAGATACTGGTTCTAGCCAAGCCGCCTGGTCTTGAGTATTGTCTAGGTTAGTAGGTATTTAATTGATCATTGATAGTGACCCAAATGGTGCCGGAGTGCCTCCCTCTCCATCTCCCTCTGTTATTGTAAGCCCACTTAGTAGTCTGATGATTAGGGTATCTAATTAGACGAATGGACAGGCAAATCTCACAAACAAAGAAAATACTGGGCTGAACTCAACTCAACCTTGGTAGGTTCTTTCAGGGTTTCCTGAACTACCTACCTAGTCTGCACTGTATGTCTAACCGTGTTGTGGTTTAAAGTCCAGCATACTACAGGCTGTTGATGGACTGTCCGTAAACCAACCTCTAATCCAACATAACCGCGCCCCCTGAGACATCAGATTTGTGACAAATGACCAGATTGTAGACTCCTCATATATGATGTATCAAACGAGTCGTCACTTGATTAATAGCGGAGCAGTATCCGTATTTCCATCCGGATGGTCCGAGCAAATTCGCTTCACAAGTGACAAAAGCAATACTAAAATGTGGAAGAAAAAAAAATGAGCTGGATTTTGGCATTAGCATGAAGTTGTGATCAATACTTGAGGCTCCTCACCAATGTTTGCCCAATAGTGCTGGTATCCATACCTACCTAGCTTAGGTAGGTATGTATTGTAGTTACCTAACGTTAGCCTGCACAATCGACCGTGGCATCAAGGTCAGGGTAACTGAGACGAAGAGAGGCGCCCACTTTTTGAAAAGAATTAACTTAGACTGCTAATGTAACTTACTAACAACGCAACAACGTCATCGAGACTTTCTGTAAATCACTAACCCCAACTCATCACCGAGGCTGTCAATATACTTCAAATGTCTCAATCCAAATTCGTCCATTGTGTTGGAAGCCCAGCATTTAGACCAGATGAGGCCATTGAAGACATCGACCGTCAGAAGGAAGCTGTCGATTATCTGCTGAAGAATGACCTGTACAACGCCAGTCGAGTACTATTTCAGCTTCCCGAACCAGATTCCTACACATATCATGCCATAACAAGTGTAAAACTTGCCCAAGTGCAATCTGTTGTAAATCTCGGAGGTACCAATGGCCTACATGCTTGGTATCGTAACGATGATGGCTCACCAGTAAGATCTCGCCCATCGACAGCCCTCGAGGACTGGACAACAACGAGACTGACCTTGACAGAGAGACCCGCCTCCTCAGACTGACGTTGAAGCATATGCTTCTATTTTCAGGCCATCAACAGCAACTGGTGCGGTTCTCAAGAACCTGGGAACCAATGCTAAAAAAGGCTCAACGAGAAGTGAAGTCGCAGCCAATCTGGAGAGAAAGCGATATCTACACCCGGGGCTTGTGACGAAGCTCACCGTTCCAAAGTGCAAAAATCCGCCCAGCACAAACCCATATCTCGATTTTTGGATGTGGTCATGCCACTCCCTAGAGTGGTGCGGTCCTTGCCCAGCATCAGAACGTGTTGCAACAAGCCATCACGTACTGCCCATCTTCATGCACCATTTTGGCTGTGCAACACCAACTCACGAAAGCCTGTATATTCTCAAGATCCTGGCTGACGGGCGTCCTATTGCGGATATAGGGTCAGGAAATGGATATTGGGCTTTCATGCTCCGCCGTTACGGCCTGACCGTACACGCGGTGGACAACATGCAGAGTGAATGGCGAGTCAACTGGGTCAATGACACCGTCATTTCTGATGGTGTTAAATGGTTGCGCAAGAACGCCAGTGGAAAAGAAATGGTTCTCTTGCTCGTATACCCTGTCGTTGGCGGCGGTATAGGTGGTGGCACTGAAGGAGGTTTTACAAGAAACCTCGTAGCTGCGTTTGAGGGTGACACTATCGCCGTTGTTGGCACGCAAAACCGGAATGGTTACACAGGGTTCAAGGGAATAACTATGGATGAGTTTATGGAGAGTGAGCATAAGGATTGGACCATGGTCACCAAGGTTGCTTTGCCTTCGTTTCCTGGAAAGGACGAGGCACTATATGTGTTTCAACGGGGCGAAAGAGTGCCACTACAATAAAAGACAGTATTGAGGCAATATTTATTGTACTTATTTCCATATAGACACCTATCTACCTTGCTTAGGTAGACTCTAAGGGGCAGTATCAGTTCGATCATGAAGCAAGTTAATCTCTGTATACTATAATTTCTCAACCTTGCCCTAACATGGTCTTGCTTCAGGCTCATGAAAACACCTCTAGGGATTGAAAGTACCTTTGGTAGTAGTCAAGTTTATAACCAGTTTTATGTTTCAGATATGGAAATCTACAACCCATTAGACAGTGAATAATGCCCAAAGTTGCTATCCACACTTTCTGAGCCCAACATTGACTCAGTAGATATTCTGGTCAGGTGACGTAGTGACTGTCTCAAGCACGACAATAGCCATCCTACAACATCATGGTCATTTTCATAAAGTTATCATTAAGTGATACTCTGTACAATGATCCGATCTCAATACTATCATCTCTACACAGCACAGCCCAGTGCCGCCCCGCAAAATGACAACCTATCTGTCCCCTTGTTTTCAGCCTCAGCCTCTGCCTCGTTGGAACCGCCACACTAAACCCCAGTTAAGCGGCCCGGTAGCGTTCGGGGTCACCCGACAGATGCGAGTTGAGACCCTCATAAGCTGTTTGACTGGTCTCTCATAACACCAAGAGCCTGGGTCTCTGCAGGTCAGGTTCCAATGCCAGTCAAGTGGAGGTAGCCTAGCATTTCGGTCCGTCCGCCATTGACGCATGCCATCGCGTCAGGCGGCCGGTCATTGTTAATTTAAATGAATGGGAAGCCTGGGATTTATTACTCAATCCGGCATGATCCTTCGAGCATCTCTTATTCTCTCTCATAATCACCAGGCATCTGCTACCTTTTTCTCCATCTTTCTTCCCCTCTCACCTGTCCTGTTTTGTTTCAGACACAACAAGAGAGCGAGACCCAACCCCGCGAGCTCCACACAAATAAATACCCCTCCTTCTGTTGCAGCTTCAACTTGTGTCTTTGCGAAAAACCAGAAACCCAACCCCCAAAACGAGCGATTATGTCTTCTCTCCGACCTGATGATAGGTCCCGAAAGGATCGATCCCGGTCACGCTCTCGTGATCATAGGTCCAAGAGCGATGCTGAGCGCCCATCCTATAGCGATTATCGCGAACCGAGCTACATATACCCAGAAGATGATTTGAATGACCGTACAAGACCGGGCGCGCCACAAGCAAGCGGTGCTCTTCCCTACCCTGATGAGGGCGGCATCTATCCTGCAATCCCTGGAAATCTAGAGCAATACAGCTATGACTCTTATCAGCCCGCCTACCGAACCGCCTCTCCGCCGAAGGACTCGCCTTACAGGTCCTCGCACGACAGGGTTGACAGTAACTTACCAGGAACATTCCCTGATGACAGTCGTCGCGAGAAAGATAAAGACCCATACACTTACAATGCAGAGCCCCGTGCCAAGGATGAACAAGACAGGTTCAGCTTTCTGCCACAGAAGTACATGCGCAAGCTTACTGGATCTCCCGGCGACAACAAGGAAAGGGACAACCGAAGCCGTAAAGACAGGCTAGACGATGACCTGGCCTACGGACAGCCAGGAGTTCCCCCGCGCCCCAAAGCTGAGACTGACGACTTAGCTTATGGCAAGGCCACAGGACTCCCTTCAACCGCCAGCCAGGTCATGACTACATACAACCCCCCTCCAACTTCTGGAGACGACTATTATGCCCAGCAACAGAACCCCTACGGATATACTCATCGCGATCCCGCAAGTCCGTCTGTTGATCAGTACGGGTCGCGCAGGTCCAGGGAAGATGTGCGTTACAATGAGATTTATGGCTCCAACGCCAATGTCGTGACTGCTGAGCCTAGGAGCCGTGATGACGAGAAACATCGCGAACGTCGTAGAGACAGATCTTCTGATCCTCGGGGCAGCTCAGACCTTCTAACTGCGGACTCTGGGGGCCGGAAACGTGAAAAGTCACGGGACAGGTCTCGCCGACGTGAAAAATCTCGGGAAAGATCTCGATCCCACAAGAGAGAGAAATCGGGAGATACTCTGACTGTGGACAGCCATCGCAGACACAGATCACGATCCAGGGATGGACGCCACAGCCGAAAGGATAGGTCTCCTCAACCTCCAACTGAGAGGATGTCAGGTCTCAGCATCAACACCGGACTGACAGTTGGTGGCCTCGCCGTTGGTGGCTTGGCCGGCGCATCACTCGCAAATGCTCCACCATCGCCCATGCTCGAGTCCTACTATGGCACTTACCAGGATTGCTCTCCTATGCCATCTCCTCTGCTGCTTGCTGCCAAGTCGAACGAGGATAACCGAGCTCTTGAGGCGCTCTCTCCGCTAGGGTCTGACAATGAAGAGGATAGCAGACGTCGCCGACGCGCCCGCTTCCACGACCCTGAGGACATCACAACCCAGCTAGCCCAGGCCCTGAAGGGGGGCCGTAAGCCTGACACTGAGCCACTTATCGAGATTCTACCAAGCTTGACACACGATCAAGTTATGAAGCTACGCGCTGATTACAAGGCGCTCGTCAAAACAGGCTCCGAACGCAAGGGCGTCAACATTGCCAAGCATATCCGTGCTCGTCTCAAAGACGAAGACCCTCTCCTGATGAAGGCCTGTTACTCTGTTGCCCTGGGTATATGGGAGAGCGAGGCATACTGGGCCAACTTTTGGTACCAGGGGGACAAGACTCGTCGAGAACTGCTCATCGAATCCCTCATGGGTCGCACCAATGCCGAAATACGTTATATCAAGGACGCTTTCACAGACAAAAAGTACGACAACAGCCTCACCAAATGCATGAAAGAAGAGCTCAAGGAGGACAAGTTTAAGAAAGCCGTCCTTCTGGTTCTTGAGGAACGTCGCATGGAGGAGTATGATCACCACGGCCGCCTGGTACCAATCGACTACGCTCTGGTGGACCAGGACGTCGCTGATCTCCGCCGCTCCATAAAATCGGAAAAGGGTGGTGAGACAGCAATGATCAACATTATTGTACTTCGTAGCGACTCTCATCTTCGCGTTATTCTTCAGGAGTACGAGCGTCAGTACCGTGCCAACTTTGCGCGCGATGCTCTCAAAAAGAGCGGGAACCTTGTGGTAAGTTTGACACGTCTTTCCATCCGTTGACAAACCTTGTTTCATTACTAACGTCCGTCAGGGTGAACTTTTGGCGCATATTCTCAATGGTGTCATCAACCGTCCCGTTCGCGACGCCCTGCTCATTCATCACGCCACCTCGGCGTCTCGCAAAGATGGGCTTCGTCGCGAGCTGCTCATTTCACGCCTTGTTCGATACCACTGGGATCCGCACCACATGCGGGCTGTCAAGCAAGCTTACCGTGAACGCTACGGCAGAGCCATGAGAGACGCCGTTCGCGACGCGACGAGCGGTGAATGGGGCGAGTTTTGTGGTGAACTGTGTATTGCACGTATGCCTGATGACGTGAGGAAGTTTGACAAGATCAGCTATAGTACGAGATGAGCAAGCCTTTTTATGATTTATGAAGAAATGGACATGTAGCGTTAAGTATATAAAGGTTCTATACATAGAATGATGAACATTGACAATATATGCAATTTTTTGGCATGTTTGAGCACAGATCTCAGTAGATAAATCGATGTGATGGATTTTTTTTTTCTAATTCTTTTTCCAAATCGATCACGTATTATTTCTTGGATCCTCTGCCTCCCCTTTTGCCCTTCCCGCCAGCACCTTTCTTACCGCCACTGCCGCCGCTTCCACTGCTTCCGCCGGCCATCATAACCCTCACCTTGCCAACAGGCACGACGTTGAAGGTCTCTTCAGGCTTAAGTGCCTTGATCAGCTCAACCTCGCGCGGCCACATTCGATCCTTATCCCGAGCATTTTCGTCCACAACACCTTTCTTGGTAGAAGCCGCCTTCCAACGCTCGAGAACCTCCTTGACTGCTTTACCCTTCTTGGTCGCACCAGGTTGCAGCTTGGCTTTGTACTTGTAGCGTCCGAGGGCGTTCCATGGAGCGCAAACTGGGATAATCTCAAGGATCTCGTCACCGGGAAGAGGTGTGCCAACAATAGCATCGAGCACTGTCATCTGACTGGCCTCGTCTTCATCAAGTATCTCAACACCTTCCTCCATCATGACGCGTCGGATCTCCTCGTGTTCAGCTGTTTCCTTTTGTTGCCGCTGGTGCTGTGCACGACGTCGCTCTTTAGCTGCCGCGAGTTCAGCCTCGCGATCTGCTTTAGCCTTTGCCTCAGCCTCAGCTTTCTTTTGTCCAATGGTAGCTCCAATCAAGGCTTCGGCAGCGGCTCGGTCCTCATCGTCTTGGTGCTTATACTTTGCAGCAATCTTCTTAGCTTTGCTTCGTTGACCTCGCTTAGGGGGGTGCTTCTTAGAGGAGTTTGGCATGTTGTTTTGCGAGCCTGTCTCTGAAGGCTTGCTGGCGGTCCCCTTCTCTGATTTAGCGGGTTCATCTCTGTCATCGGCTTCACCTTCATCAGCTCCGTTTTCCTCGGTTTGATCGTCCTCTCCTTCTTTCTCATCGGCCTCGGCTACTCCTTGGTTCGGGGCCTTGTTGCTTGCTTCATCCGAGATCCTAAGCTCCGAAACACATTCCTCGGCTTCTTCAACTTCGTCATCACGACCTTCGCTTTTCTTAAACGCTTGAAGAGGATTATCACGAGACTCTTCATCATGTTTCTCATCTTCGGATTCATAATCAGAGGGCACGTCGGAATGTCCTGCATCAGGCTCGTCAGCATCACCCATCATTCCTGCTGATTGGGGAGCACCAGAGCCTTCATCGCCGATTGCGGAATCAACATCGTGTAAGCGGTGCTTGACATGCTTGGCTTTGCTCTCTTCGCTGATTCTAAAAGCAAGACCCAGTCCAAGGAGAAGTTGAGCCGGAGGCAAAAAGTTCTTCTTTCCACGAATCATGAAACTTCCGGCTTGCAGAAACTCTCCTGTTGGGGCAGATTTGGAGACTTGATCAGCGTTAACCCACCACGCAGGCATGCCAGCTTTGGAATCCCAAGCATTTGATGAGCACACAGCGAGTGATCCCGCCTGGGAAAGCGTTGCGGGAGGGATTGGTGCATCCGGAGTTTTGGGGTTGTTCTTGATGATGACGCTAGATGCTCCATGCAGATCAGCATGGCAGTAAATGTCGCCTTTTCGAAGATATTTCTTGTATATGGTTTCGTTCTGCTGAGCATCTTTGCCTCCGATTACAAGATAACCGTCGGATGAGATGAACCAAGTGAACTTCTCGAACCACATCTGCTTACGAATGGGTTGGAGCAGAGCCTTCTCTTGTTTCAACCCCTTTTTAAGATCATCGGTGATCTTTTGCTCCGCATTTTTCAACGCCCTGGATGCTTGTTGCTGAGTTTTCTCTTCCTTGACGGCCGCCGTTTTTCTCTGATCGAAATACTCTCGAGCATTACTCCAGGGGCTGAGGCCAAGATTGATCTCTACGTTAAGCGCCTTATTAGTCTGCTTTCCTTTGACAGCTGATGTGCCTTCATCATCGTCTAGTGCGCTGTCGTCGTCGTCGGTTTCATAAGGGTCATCTTCTTCCGGTTCAAACTCTTCCTCTGCCAGCTCGAGGGTGATGAGATTCTCGGCAAGGTTCAGAGGTAACTTGATGATCTCGGCAACAGGATTGTGGCGCTTCTTCTCGCGTTCAACCAACTTTCCAACATCCACCCAGTCCATTCCTTGATTGAGTAGTCCGTTGACGGCATCCATAGCTTCCTGAACACGTTCGACATTCGCTTCAATGGCGGCAGCTTTGCGGAAGTTGAGAGTCTGTGCTTCTTGAAGCCCCTCGATCCGTTTGTTTTGTTCGTTCTTCGCAGCTTCCAATTTTCGTTTTGCTGCTGCCTCGCGCTCAGTCAGCTTGGACTCGAGTCTTTGACCTTCCAAAGACGAGAAGAACTCATCGACTGTTTCGTTGTAGCCTTGGAACTCGAGAACCTCAATCGCGGGATCATTCTTCAATTTGTATGGGATGAAAGGATGAAAGTCGTCGTATAGTAGGTTATCGCGCTTTGTCTTTGCCTCTTCGTTTCCTTCGGTTCCTTCTGGCCTCTCTCGGCGTTTAGCAAATATATAGCCAGTGCATATTTCTGAGCTTGTAAGCTCTTCCACGATTTTACGAGCTTCCTGAAGTGACTTGACCAACTCATCCAATAGAGTTTCGTTAGCTAGGACTTCATCAGGTTTAACTGTGGTATCAAAGTTGTTTGTGTGCAGCCAGTGATCCACAAGCACGGGAGGCAACTCTGTGATAGACACTGCCAGACTCTTTCTCAAATCACCGCCAGGCTTGCCCTTTTGCTTCTTTGATGACGTCGCATCGACAGCCGCCTTTTCCACAGCGGCCTTGAGGGCATTTTGCACTCTCTCTTTGGTTAAGGGAGGAATTCCGCCATAGTTCTGTCTGTTTTCAAGAGAGTATTGCAGTCCAACTCGCTGCGGCTCCTGCCCTTCGCCTTCGGATACGGTTCTCGCGAGGGCAAGGATGTTTAAATCGGCATCTGTGAGGATGATGTTACCGCTCTAGCGACAAAAGTGTCAGCGAGTTTCATCAAAACAAGGGGGTATAGGACATACAGCAAAGAACTCTAAGAACATGCGATATTGACCATCGCTGAACTCAAATTCGAGGACTCTATCGGTGCCTACTTGCCTAACTGCCGTCAACCGTCTGGTCTTGAGAAACTTCCGGAGGCGCGCAACGAATATGGAGGGGGCCGCAGCGGTTGTGCGTGCGAACTTTGTCAGATGACAACGGAATCCAGTGTCAATAACAAGCTGCTTCTTATTGTCGGGTTTCGCAAACTTGAGGAGAAGAATTTTGGAGGAAAGGTCGTATACATTGGAGAGTCGAAGAGTCACCAGGCGCTCCTGGAGCTCATGTGCAATGATCTTATCAGGCAGTTAGAAGAGGTCATGAATAGCTTTCACGTTGCACTCACTTTCACATCCAACGAAGAGAATCTTTGCTTCATTTTGAAGTATAGTCTCTAGACCAAGATACACAAACTTGAAAAACTCAGGCTCTACACTACATCATCGCGGTACAAGGGGAATCCCATCGTGGGGTATGGAGGGGCATGCTGACATCATCCGGGTTCCACGTGACTTGAAGCTTCCTCCAGTGCCGGGTAGGTACCTGGTTTCAGGCATGGAAGGAGCAGGAAACGTCCAAGGTCAATCATCCACGAAATTCGCTACCCGACTCTTGTGTATCTGACGGGTATCATACCAACCGATGACTCCAGCTGTTGGGGATTTTTTGCATGACATCCTCGTCTAGATATCGCTAAAGTGCATGTTTGTTGAACCCCAGAGACAAGGACTCAGTGGGTTGATCACAGACCCGCGTCGCAACACCATCTGGAATATTTTTTGCTACATAGTACTTTCAATGCGCATCAGACTTGCATTAGTACGACAGAGGGCGCACGCAACGAACGCATCGCATCATTACTTGCGTGGTGTTGATGAACAACATGAGCATACTGTATATCAGCATGTATGCAGGCATCATTAACACACTCAGAGTTACTCCAAATTTCTCAGATAACGGCACAGGCTCTGTTCAAGCATTGCATTCACTATTCACAGTCTCAACCGCGCAAAGCTGTCATACTGAGCACATGACACCCGTTGAGCCGAGGAACTTTGATCAACTCAATCCATCAGCACAACAAAAACATTGACAGTCGCAGGACTCTTTCGCACGGTACGGTACAACCCTGGGACCGAGGCACGGATCTAGTATCAGAAGCTAGTGGGTGGTCTGAGATTACTACCCAACATTGCAAATTATCTCCTCAAAGAGGATTCATTGTCAGCAAATCAGCAAGTGCTTTTTTTTGGTCGTTACAGCAACTGTAAACCTGGACTTGGTATAGCCTTGGCAAGTTAGTGCTTCTGGCTTGCTGTTCTATTGATATTTAAGGATTTGATATCAGACATGGAACATGGAACATGGTAAAGTACAGTGTGCGGGATATTGAAATGAATCGCAGACAAGAACATTTGTTCAATTGGTTCGGAGAAGAAGCTAATGACAAGGAACAAGCTTTCCTGCAGCTTATGATGCTGATGACGACGCTGCATTGAACGGGTATCGAATGCAATTGATAAACACGGAGGCTGGTGATTGCTGACAAGTGCCCAATCTGGTACTATTTACGAAGCAGAGGTTAGGCCATTGCAGCTAACGGAAGCTCCGAAGCCACCAATGCTATCTTTCTGCACAGTTTTGGTATTAGTTCCGCTCGAATATTGAGGCCATGGCGAGGCAGAGAAACTCAATGCGCTGACTGAAGGACGCGCTCAACGACAGGTCGCTTTCAGCTGTATGTGTGATATCGCATACTTGCACTAAATAATACACTCGCATAAAAGATCCGGCGCCATCCAATGGTAAGCTTCCACGATATCACCCGTACTCGTTCATTAATGATTACGAGTTGAATCATGGATCAGCCGCTGAAGCTGCAGCTGAACAGAGGTTGTTGGTGTGCCGAGTTTAGAAACATTTGAGAGTCATTGAAATTAGAGAGGTTAGGGATTTCACATGGCCACCAATGGGAAGGAGGCAACCATCTGCACGAGCCCACCAAGTCATCTCCTCAAACTGTGCTGCGACTAAGAATTTGATTCCGGTTCTGGCCTGGCCTTTGTATCAGCTAGGTCATTCTCGACTACCGGAGGCCAGGCTGAAGCAGTCAGTCACGCATTGTCACTTTATCGGTCCTGTCCTCATACGGATACACTAGGCGTCAATGGGCTTCAAACGGAGATCCAGAGATCTCATGAAGAGCATCGACGATAAAGTGAGTGGTTGGGGATACTGTGCGGTGCCGACCCCAGCGGCAGCCAGGTTCCACCCTTGATTACATGGTTGAAAAGTGGCGTTACTGGGCGAGATCAAATTTGGCATGTATGTTCGTCCAATGACGCGAGCTCTCCATGTTGCTGCGAGGGTCAGGAACGGACCAGCATGGGATCAGTGAGGTGAAATCCAACCGAGGGAGAGCGAGATCTTTGTGCTCATATCCATGCTGCCATGCTACGTGCCGAACAGGCCAGATGGCGTTCAACTCAGTCGACCAGGTCCGATGAACGCGGAGCGGTGACGAGATCGAAGCTTCATCTATCGCTTACGGGGTTATGTTCCACTTTCCATTAACGTTTGCGAGTTGCTGTTTGAGAGCCATGTCGAAAGCATGGACCGTGTCACATCTTTCAAGGTAAATCTGGAGGTGGGAAGAAGAATTGCGAGGAACAGGATGGGAGGATAGCAGGCTGACGCGGAAAGCTAGGTAGCTACCTGGCTGATTACTGGCTAAAGCTGGAGAGCAACTAGGTAATATCAGGCAAAGAGCTCCAAGAGCTATTGGGAGGCTGGCTGATTGTCTCTGGCTGAGACGCAGGAGGAAGGGTTAAAATGGCCGGCAGGCCAAGAAGGGGCTGCAAAACACGGAGTGGATGGTGGGGCCTCCCACATACGGGATTCGGGCTGCGGATCTAACCTCAATTTGGCAAGAGGTAAATAGGACGACATGCAGGCCCCCTGACATGTAAACAAGACAAGTGGTAAACAAGCCATCAACATCAACAAGAGCGAACAATCGACACACCCATGGGGGTGAGATATGGTAGTAAGGCAGAGAGAGATCAGGGCAGCATACGTGGGAAAGGGCTGGGCAAGAAAGGACACAACGGATCAACAGAACGCAGCGCTACCGAGGGAGCAACACAAGTACAGTAACCGCTCACAGAGGCACAACTCGTCCAATCCTGCCCCCGTCTTCAAAAGCCCAGTTTCGTTCTGAGTCCTGTCCGGTCCCTCTTCTCCTCCTACTCCCTCCAATTATCGCCATCCACATCGACATCGTCAATTCACAACCTCACCCAGACAAGAAGAAAAGAACGACTGAAGGCCTTCGCTCGCCATCACCCGATTCTTTTCCATTCTCTTCGACTTTTGTTTCGTAGGAACAAGAGCCAGAGAACTTCTTGTCATCCTTTCGAATTTCGGAAGGTTGTATGAGAAGCTTCTCTCGCGCCAGCAAAAGTCGCAAATCTGGACTTTGAGGCACGCGTCCCCGTTCCCTTCAGCATCTTCCCATCGACATATCGGGAATCCGAATCCCACACACAGACCGTTACCGAAACAAAGATACACGAAGAGGTTGAGATCAAACCCCAACAGCCCGAAGCCGGACGGGAAGGTGAAATATCTTCTGTCTCCGTCACCGCCGAACAGGTCCCTCCTCCTCGTCAAGAGCAAGAGTTTATCGAAGAAGAGGTCCATATTACGCGTGAAGAAGAACATTACCACCGTCCCGGTGTCCAAAAATTCGAGCACGAAGACTTTACTATCCGTGAAGACTCCCGACGGTACGTTCGATTTTACATTTCCTTTCATCTCCATTTAGGTCGCATCTTTTTCGTTACTTTTTTGGTCAATTACACGGGGGATACGATTTTCCCACGGTCGGAGAAAGCCCTGCTTGCTCTCTATGCCTAGGTCTGTATTCTCTCATCCCTCTGCGCTGATCTGGCCATGGAGACGTGTGAGAACAAGACTACAATTCATCACATCATTTTTCGCTAGGCGAAAGCAATTACCGTTGTCCCCGACCTTCTCCCAACCATCAGTTTTCACTTTCCCTTTTCTTGGTCTGGCTTGCCTTGACCATTACCCACCGCGCACGGAGCGCTTCAGTCCCCAGCCATCCCATTCTCACATCACTTCTCATATCCTCTCTTCACACGCCTCACACACCCACCCCCTGCATGCTACCATGCCAACCCACTTCAGCTTGGCTGGATACCCAATTTGCTTTGCTTCCTCCCCGGCTCACTAGCGCCTCTAAGCCTGCTGGCCTGAGCAAGGCGGTGGAGCTATCTCAGGGGCCGCCGCCTCCCGTTGCCATATGATACGCAAACGACTTACTATAGACATCCATCAGCTAACCCAGACAAATCTAGACCTCAACCTCCCTCTCAATACCAACCTTCCCAGTACCACCAACCTTCCCACTACCAACCACCTCCCAAATTCCAAACTTCTCACACTCACGTAGAGATCGACACCCACCGTCATCCCTACTACTCCACCCCCATTGATCTCGCTGAACGTGAATACCGCCAGCGTTACCGCCCTGCCCAAGCTTTTTCCACAGAAGACCCTTCTTCCCACTCTCATCCTCACTACCAACCTCAAGACAACTTCAAAGCCAACAACTACACCGTTGAAGGCCGACCCGCTCCCCAATTCCATTCCTCTGAGAAGACTGAAATCAACAAGTTTACTGTTGACGAACACTCCTCTCGCCCTCAGTACAACCACACCGAGAAGACCGAATTCAACAACTACACTGTTGACAGCCGATCTTCCCGTCCTCAATACAACACCTGTGAGAAGACTGAGATCAACAATTTCACTGTTGACGCCCGCTCTTCCCAGCCACGGTACCGCGACACCAAGACAACTCAAGTCAACAGCTACGCCGTTGACAAGCCCGTTTCTCGTCCATCTTACAAGAAGGACGTGAGATTTACTGAACAAACCGTCGAAGCTTCAAAGTCCGACAAGTCCAAGATGGGTTACTACGACGACGAGGGTAAGTGAAATCTGTCACCCAGCGAGCGCCATCAAGCTCTCTATTCGTGACGCAATTCAAGCTAACCCAGTCACCAGGTTCTTTCCGCAACGGCGGCATCCACAAGCTCGGTGACAAGTCCCGCGACATTGAGGTTGACATTCGCGAGACTTCTCGTCCTGCCAATGACTGCGCTCCCAACACCGTCAGCATCCCCTGCCACCACATCCGTCTGGGTGATTTCCTCATGCTCCAGGGCCGCCCCTGCCAGGTCATCCGCATCTCCACCTCCTCTGCCACTGGCCAGTACCGCTACCTTGGTGTCGACCTCTTCACCAAGCAGCTTCATGAGGAGTCTTCTTTCATCTCCAACCCTGCCCCCAGCGTTGTCGTTCAGTCCATGCTCGGCCCTGTCTTCAAGCAGTACCGTGTCCTCGATATGCAGGAGGGTCAGATCGTTGCCATGACCGAGACTGGCGACGTCAAGCAGGGTCTCCCTGTCATTGACCAGTCCAACCTCTACTCTCGCCTCCACAACGCTTTCGAGTCCGGTCGTGGCTCTGTTCGCGTCCTCGTCCTCAACGACGGTGGCCGTGAGCTTGCCGTTGACATGAAGGTCATCCACGGCTCTCGCCTGTAAGCGTGTTCAACTGTTTTCTGAATTCGGGCAGCCGCTTGCAATGCGACTTCTTCCCAATGTTTAATTGAGTGAAGGGACAGCACTACCAGTCTCACCTCAACTGTGGGGAGCGGGTCTGGGCTGTCTCTAATCTTACCTGTACAATGTCAAGTTTCATAGGGGACCTGTTGTGTCAAGATGGTTCGAGTTTTGTTTGTGTCAAGATTGGATAAATGATATTGGCTAGCTGGAAATACTGGAGTCTTTTGTGTAGATGGGAGAGTTCTGTACATGAACTATAGTAATTGACAATTGATTCCGCATCTACTTAGCTTTTCATTGGTGCTCTATGCCCAACATGTGAATTGATGTTCCCTGTGGTAGATAAAGTGGCATCGGCTGATGCCCTGTAGCCATCAAGGTCTCGTTTTACCATGGGAAACTAACACTGTCCAACAACCATACCCTCGTCATTTTTGACACAGCAAGCTGCCCTAAATCATTCATCTGAAGTTATCGACTTCTTCCACAGCTGATACAATCATGGAACAAGTCACTCAATGAGTCTTGCTTATTTTTGTTTGAAGCTTCGTCAATTGAAGGGTATACCTACGTCTTTGAACCACATATCTCCTATTCTAGGAACTCTCCTCCCCACCTCATTGCGACCCTTATCATCAAGGTGCTTCCCCGCGCCATGAAATCTAGCCCAAGATGGATAGTACTTAAGGCTGCCTCACACGCAAGCTCATGATTGATAAGAGAGCGCGTGACAACTCTTAGTCACCTGGACAATTTCCCTCAGTGTTCTTTCCTATCTTCAGTCCATCTCATAGTTCGATTAACTTAACTCCCTTGAGGCTCACTCGATTTCTATATACACGAAACTACACTTCACTCACATTCAGATTTCCGCAACGATCATGGGTGCTCAGTCATCAAAGCCGACACTTCATGAGAAGGCAGTGCTCGATCGTCTCCATAGTCTCCAAATTCAGGATGACGAGGAGTACGTCGAGATCAGCAGCGATTTTGAGAAGGTTCCCCTTGGACCACTGGTTCGAGACGCACAAGGTCTCTCAGTTCATGTACTTGAATCATGGCAGGCTTCTATTCTCAAGGACCCCAAGAACAAGTGAGATACCACTGCCACAGTACCAACGTATGACTAACCTGAGAAAAGACTCGCTCTTACAGCGCTGAGCTCAACCAACCCAAGACAGGTTCTCACTTCACTGCCGACCGAAATTACGGACCAGCAGGTATTCAATGTTAAGATTCCGTTTGAAGGAGATCCTATCACAAACCAACGCTCAAGCGGTCGCTGCTGGCTCTTTGCTTCGACAAACGTCTTCCGCGTGGCCCTCATGAAGCGATACAACCTCGAGAGTTTCGAGCTATCACAGCAGTATCTTTTCTACTGGGATAAACTTGAAAAGTCCAACTGGTTTCTTGAGCAAGTCATCGATACTGCCGGAGAAGACCTCGAAGGTCGACTTGTCCAGAACTTGCTGGGTGATATAGTCTCAGACGGTGGCCAGTGGGATATGGTGTACAACCTTGTCGAGAAGTACGGTCTGGTGCCTCAGACTCTGTACCCAGATACCTGGAATGCCCAAAGCTCTGGCATTCTGAACAACGTCATCAAGACTAAGCTTCGCGAGTTCGCCCTTAAACTACGAGGATTAATCAACTCCCAAAATGGTGTTTCCGCCACCACACTTTCCTCGGCTAAGGACAAGATGATGCGTGAGATTTCTCTCATCATGACTCTTCTCCTCGGACCACCACCAAGTCCCGAGGATGCTTTCACTTGGCAGTACAACGATAAGAATGGCAAGGCCCATGAAGTCAAGTTGACCCCTAAAGAGTTTGCCAAGAACATATACAGCTCTGAATTCCGGATTACATCTACCACAATTGACAGTATGATATCACTCGTGCACGATCCTCGCCACAAGCCACTCAATTTGCTCTCAGTATCACGACTGGGAAACATTGTTGGTGGACGCGGTGTGAGCTATGTCAACGTTGATATCGATACTCTCAAGAGGACTTGCATCAAGATGCTAAAGGCCGGCATCCCTATCTTCTTTGGTAGCGACGTTGGCAAGTTCAGTGATTCTAAGTCTGGTATCATGGACCTCGATCTTTTCAACTACGAGTTGGGTTTCAACACCAGTTTACTCGGCATGAGCAAGGCACAGCGATTGACGACAAAAGAGAGCCAGATGACACATGCTATGGTGTTAACAGCAGTTCACCTCAATGAGGAGACAGGCGAACCTGTCCGCTGGAGGGTACAAAACAGTTGGGGTACTGCTGCTGGTGACAAGGGCTGGTTTGTTATGAGCGATGCCTGGCTTGATGAGTTTGTTTATCAGGCAGTTGTCGATCCCCGGTTCTGCAGTAAAGAAGTGAAGGATGTCCTCAAAAAGGAGGCCATTGTCCTTCCTCCCTGGGACCCCATGGGTGCGCTGGCTTAAAGCAGGCGTTCCGTTGGTGCACCCGGGGAGGCTGTGTCACATTGTTTTCGCGTATTACAACTATGGAATCGATATTTATTATGAGGATATGTCCGAACAAGCCATACTGAGAGCTATTACCACATACACAAAGTTCTGCCATCCAACAATGTTGTTTCTTCAGTCACGTGCGCGTTGTCCTTGTAGGACATGACATGACGATGGATCGAAGTTCGAGGCAACACGATGCAGTCACTATATGTCTTGACATAAGGATTACAAGAATATCATTAGACGTATGCGCACCTCGGCACAATGAAGCTTCACCGCTGTATGTTATGGGGTACAAATTACAATAATCAACAGATGTGTATTTGATCCTGGATCCTGGTCTGCTCCTTACATGATTGTTGGTCCCATCTCTAACAAGCTGCGCTTGAAGCAAGTCCCGTCCCACATAGCTTTTGTACTGGTACCATCAACGGCATTTGAACATACCGACGGAACACTCAACTGTTCTCAGCCTAGTCTTCCTGTAGGGTGAGGGTTGAGGTGTCACGCTGTATGGTTTTGTTCATGGCGCGAAAACGTACACAGAAAGATCAGCGCTGCTTGGGCCATATGGATGGATGCCCTAGATGCCCAAGCAAGCCCTCCGGATCGAATATCATTGTTTTCTGATTGTCTTCTTTGGTGCCACATTGTGGAGAAAGTGTTCGTCTATACTAAGCTTATTTGTGATTTGTCGACATCAGTTTCTTCTGATCACAATGAAACCCGTCAGACAACCTCATATGACAGGAAGGCATGAGTTTCTTACTCCCTTCGGAGAGGTCATAGCTTCGTTTCTGACAACCAAAGAGCCAGGTCATCGTTGACTATGACTAGTAGCCCCCAGCCGCTCAGCGGTTCCGGCTCTCTTTGTGAATTTGTCAGATGCAAGTTACGAGGGTGTTCCTGGCCGTGTCTAACCAGGATGGGCTTTCTTCAGCTACCGAGCTAAATGTCCGCACCAAGCCTTTCCAGATCGGCTCAATCGAGTGAAAATCAAGTTTCTTATGTAGAAAGTTTGCTGGAGTTGTGGATCTACTTGGATATTCGCTCAGATCCTGAAGTAGTGGAGGTCACATTCAGGCGTTGATCAAGGACAAGGGCGGTTCCACCCCCAGGTGCTGATGCGACTTGAGTTTGACTTCCTACTTGTTCTAGTGGGTAGTGAGCAGTTATCTCAGGAAATGTTGATGTGGCATCAGACTTGAAAACAATAACAAAGCCTGGCTGTAAGATTGGTCCGCGCTATGTGTTAGGTTAGAGGTATCTGCGTTGAGGCAGGCTCGCAAGGGGACCAATGCGTGCGTATAAGCGAAATGGACTCGGACCAACTAGAGAATAGAGAAAAACTTACATTCAAGGTTTGAAAGGTGAGGCTCTCTAGATCCCGTAATTACCTATCACTTGTCAACTAGTCTAGGTACATGCTTAAGAACCCACATTCTGAACGCTTGTACGGACGAGACAGGAGCACTCATACGATGTGCCTCATCGTGCAGAAAATTTACCAACCTGGTTGAGTCATGAGGACTCTGCTTGGGCATTGCTTGTTGACAGTAGATGTTAAACTGGTTGGCTCTTTGGGTCAAGCTCGGTGAAAGACCTTCCCTTCCCCAGTCAGTGCAACTGTCCTATCATGCGCCAGCGAGGTGTCTCGAGCAGCCCTTTGCATCAGGCACTCGTCGAACAAGGTTGAACTGAACTGAACTCTGAGTGTGGGCCATTCCCTTGGCTGCTGATACAATGACAGGATGACAGATAACGCTTCTGGACTCTTAAGTTAATCCAGGATTAAATGCGATGCTCATAATTGGACGACAGGAGCGGTTATAGAAGTGATCCATTGGATAAGAGAGGCTTATTGTGATACTGAGCATACTCATGGCATAAATTAGTATGGTTGTCATTGTATTTTCGGAGCATTGCCGGGTTTTTGGATGTGTAGAACAGGCTGTTTGAGGTTACACAATTTGAGAGTTGTCAGTTGACTTCCTCCCCGGAATTGTCAACGCTCCATAACAAAAATAGGTTGACCAAACAAGAAGGAGCACATGTTTCATCCCATAGGTACCTACTTACTCTAGGTACCTAGGTATGAGGTAAATGGTGTTGGTCAAGTTGGGCAGAGAAATAACGGCCCGTTGCTGGTTGCCTCTTCATACTTGGCGGCTACGATATCAAGATCCCATTCTCTCCTCGTCCTGTTTGTAAAAAAGCTCTCTCATCAGGATAACGCATGCTACCCACCTAACTATTTGCACGTTACCTGCCTGTTAAGCAAATCTTGATCAATTTATACTTAGCACTCTTCCTCAGCCTGATCGTCGCTGCTGGATATCGAAACTCTGTTGAGGCTTCAACAAGCTACCCACTTGATTTGGAGTAGCCTTGCCGACGTCTCATTTGTGCCTGTTTCACCTCGGATCTGCATTCTCAAAAAGCCATCCAATTTACCCAGGAGTTTATCCTCAGCAGCGAGACGTTGGCTGCAGATCTGTTCAGGTCCTAATTGTCTTCGTCATTCTTGCGGGCAACTTTTGGTTTTAACATTCGCCACAAAAAAAGATAAACGAGTTTCAAAAATAGCAGTGGAAACTCGTCCAGGCCGAGGGGGGACGTCATTGCCCAGACCAGACGCAGAAGCTAACGTTACCGCAAACATACTTTTTACTCACGGGATAACAGAGAAATCTACACAATAGCTGCAGAGCCTCACGATTCAAGAAGCAGCACGGTCAACGGTTCTAGCTCAGGTCGGGCAGCCCACCTTGGTCCTGGTCTATAAGCTATTTGTCTCAAAACCAAGGGTTCACGAGGTCCCTGACCCTGGCATCGAAGCCTGACAACTCCATCCCCACTATATTGCAGTAAGCGGACGATTTACAAAGTCAACCCCGGTGGACCTTTCCGAAGCCCAAGACCCGGGCGCCCGAGTCTGGGATCAAGGCTGTTCTTCTGTTGGGTTGTTTGGGCTTCTGTTTTTGCGCCCGAAGCATTGTTCCGCTAGCACTGTCAATGCTACATCTCCAGAGAGATTCAAACGTTCCATCACTTATTTGAGTTAGCAAGCCTGGCGGAAAGCCCAGAAACGCTAAGCCCAGAGCCGGCTCCGCCCAGACACGGCGGGATATCCTTGGGATTCAACCCAACTCTCTAGCGTGTGCGGTGTTGAGACGACAACAGCATACAAGACCGACGTTGAACAAAATTGCAATTGAAGAAATAAAACCTAGCGAATCACATAGAGTCTGTAACGGGTATCCAGTGAGATCCAGCAAGAGAACTTTGCTGCATGCACCCGTATCATCTCAACTGCAGACAAGAGGTACTCGATCGAAGGGTCCCTGTATGTATTACCCTTGGCGCTGGCAACTGCACATCCTGGGCTGGTGACGTTCTCCCTGTCTCTTACCGAGACTAGGTACCATCCACACGGGCTTTGAGAAAAAAACGGTTTCATGGTGACTTCGACTGACGCCAATTTCTGTCCAGGTACCCAGCCTGCACCTGTACGTACAAAGTCAGTTTGCGTTCTCCACGCCACCGCATCGATCGTCATCGGCATTCCCATTACCTCAATACCGCGTGAAAGACGTTGGGATTAGTCTACCGTCAGGCTAGCTACCATAACGGAGCATATCACTTCTCTTTGAACCGTCTGGCGTGCCCCGGAGCCCTTTTCGGAGAGAGCACATTGGCTCTCTGACAAAACATCGCCAACTGCTTCTTCTGCCATATTCTCCTTCATTCTCTCTTTCTGCACCTTTTCCCAGTCTCTCCATAATTCTTGCCTTTTATTCTTCTGATATTGCCCCTCACCCCACCTCGACCACCTTTTGGTGGTGGACCCTCGTACAAGGACAAACACACACACAGCGCAGAACAAAGAAAAGTCGACTGTCGGGACTGACATCCTTTACCCGGCCGTCTTTCTTTTTATTTGTTTCAGACCTACTATCGTAAGTATTCCGTGATCTCAGTTTCTTGACAATTTGTGTAGTTCTGTTCCAGACTGACTGGTTCAGGAATGAGCGGGACCAACGCCAATTGTCTACTTAGATACTACCATCAATCCATCAATCGACCAAAGAGCCAGCCAAGCAAACAAGCCAAATATCGATTTGGTTGCATAAACAGCGGAGATTCCCTTTTCTGTCTTCCTCAATTAGTCAGTGGCCACGTTTCGAGGCAGTGTTACTGTCAACCTCGTGGTGACTCCTCGAGACCGGCGTCATCTTGGCCGTTATCATCCGATTTCAACGCCAAAGCTATCAGAGAGGAATACTGCCAGAATCGACTGAGACTCGCTCAAAAAATACTCCAGAGGAGTAAATTATCCGGGGGCATTTAAACCGGAGCCATCATTAAACCACCAAACCCTGGGCTTGTCGTTGTTATACTACCGAATATTAATCCTGTCATTGCTAGCCAAAGCTGACAAGGACCGACCAAGTTCGACCCCTCCTCACGTGGCCTTGGCTTCAAAGTAGATTGCCGTCATTCCGCTGGGTGGACTACTTACACTACAATACGCCACTGCTGCCCTCCACTCACTTCAACGCCTGGCGACCCAACGCTACCGCTCTTCTGCACAGCGTCACGTTTTGTCCAACGTTTCTCACAACTCGACTTTGACTTCAGTCGCTGTCGGCTTCCAGCAGCACGCATAGTCTGACAACTGAGTAATCATTTTGGTATTCCAATCCCGGTAGCCCCACGTCATCATGACGGACCGTTATCGCTACCCGTCCTCTGGACGAGCGGCTACGTTCTCGAATCATGCGAGGACTTCATTGCCGTCAAGCATTGGTTATACTTCTCTGTATGCTGGTGATATGCATGTCATGCCGACTTCTACCCGTCAGCAACAACCTATCCCAACAACAACGACAACACCACGAGGATATGTTACAACTACTTCTACAACACCGACTCCCAACACTACGACTCGCACGTACGCCGTTACCCAGGATCCTCGATCACACAGACCAACTACTAGAGATGTTACTCGAACGCAGAGGTCCTCCACTCTCGATTCCACGAGTCGGCCACCGGTTATTGTAATGACCACCCAGAAGGACCGTGCTAACGGTACCAGTTCTCATTCTTCCAACGCCCGTCCCGGAAGTCCCATACGGGACGAGTATCGGTCGAGCGATAGGCAGTTCTACACACAACCTGCCTCATCTATACGTTCACGCAGCACAGCCCGCTCATATGCCGACCAGCCAGGTAGCGACAGCTATGGTCGTAGTAGCAGGGACCGCAGCAACAGTTTGGTGCGCGACGATCCGTACCGCAACAACCGTCACTCTGGTATCTACCAGAGCAACCCACGCCAAAGCTCCAACAACGTCGATTATGGAGACGATGGGTATCAGTACACCAATGCGGGCGAACTCGTTCGCTATGATCTTGACCAATCGGCTCCGACAAGAACTCGAAGACGTGAGAGTCTGGACCGCGGATACTACCGCCCCAACATCAATTACAATGCGGACCAGCGAACGTTTAACGTCGATACAAGTCCCGACTTGAGTCGCAATTATATAACTACAAGCACAAGCAGCCCCTCGAACAGCCGGCAATACGATAACCGAGGAGGCCCTCCACCTAGTACTCGTGGCTTCGATAAGATTCGAGGGTATGAAAGCCCACGAGATTATGCCCCGATGCCTTCCAAGACACCGGAGCCTGTATCCACAAAACAGGATGTCCCTCTCGTTGCCACTGCCGAGACGACGAGACGGCCTCGACCAGTGTCTTTGTACCAGGAAGGACCGCCCCGTTCTTCGCACCATGATGACTACTACCGTAGCCGAGAAGACGAGAGAAAAATGCGCGAGTTTCGTGAACAGCCCGAACTTGAGCGTTCCCATGAACACGAACGCTCACACGAGACTCCGTATTTTCATGATGACCGAGTCACTTCTCGAGGGTTTGGCATTCGAACTGATCTGGCTGATGAACACGATGAACGCCGCGAACGCCGCCAAGAGCCCAAGAAACGCTCCGATGAAGATCTGCCGCGTGAAACCGAGCATGAGCGCGATGATCGTCGCCGAAGTTGGCTTGATTCGAAAGAGCCCCGCCGTGATAGACGTGAGAGTAAGAAGGGTAGTGACGATGATGAAAAGGAGCGTACTCGATTCCGTGATAAGGTGGCCACCGGCCTGGGCATCGCTGCGACTGCCGTGGGACTGGTTCCTGCAATCAAAGACGACGACAAGCGTGAAAAAGAGTTCAGCAGACGCAAGGGCTCTGACGACGAACGTGAGCGTGAACGAGATCGTGACAGGCGGCGAGAATCAATGAAAGGCGAACGGCCGCGCAACCTGGAACGCGATCGATCGCGACAGCGAGATCAATCACGGCAACGAGACCAGGACCGTGGCTCCAGGGACACAAGCCGCCGACCTGGAGACTCTCGTAAGAACGGAGAGGCAGTAGTTTCGTCTTCTGACTCGGATGAAGGCAAGAGATCAACTAGGAGACGCCGCGATTCAAATGTATTCAACCCTAATGATACTTCTGATTTGAGGCAACTTAAGGATCAACTTGCGGCCTTGAGCACTACCGAAAAGGAGAAAGAAAAGGAATCCCCTGTCGTCGCTGAAACCACATCACGCTCCTCGTCACCCTCAAGAGACTCCAAACCCGTGGTCGAGTCTCGGTCGTCCAGAGAACACCGTTCCTCACCCGACTCAAAACCCCCCAGTCCTCCTGGAGAGGAAGTTCGTGGTCGTGAATTGCAGCAGACTTCTTTGGACGACAAACAAGTCCGTGTAGTGTCACCTCCTCGTGACAAGAAAGACGAGAAACCTCTCAAGGGTATTTTGAAACAGCCCAAGGTCAGTTTCCCAGAAGAGCCAAATCCTGTCCGCGAGGGTGTTGCACCTCATAAAGAAGACAAAAAGGCCAGAGAAGCACCTGCAGGTGCAAAATGGACTAAAATCAGCCGCAAGGTTGTGAACCCCGAGGCTCTGACTATTGGGAAGGAGAGATTCGAGGTCAGAGACGACTTCGTTATTGTGCTTCGGGTACTTAGCAAGGAAGAAATTCAAGCGTATGCCTCAGCAACACAGGTTCTACGGGGTAAGTCCACAGCTTAGATTCATTCATCTATCGGAACATACACTGATCTCGTACGCAGAGAGACGACGCCGCGACGAAGATGGTGGTGAAACGGATCGGGATCGTGATAGAGACGATGATGAGAGAAAAAGGCATCATCGCCATCGTCGCCATCGTGAAGACGACTCGTCGGATTATGAAGACAAGGATCGTGAAAGGCGCAGGCGTCACCGAGATGAGGAAGAGTACGACACTAAGGCAAGAGATTCTGACCATCATCACCACCACCGCAGCCACCGGGACCGCGAGCCTGTTCTGGAAGCTTAATCCAACAAGCAAGCACATAAAGATATATACCACCACCACCAATGACTGCTTTCTTTAGATTATGGAGCGTTATATTGAATGTATTCAATGAAAGGATTTCACCATCGGATTTGTATCGAATTTTAACATATATCATCAGCATGAACTGAGCGGTTTAGCGAGGCATTCAGGATACGTAAAATAAACAAAATAACATTTCGGCTCAAAGATATCTTCAGTACTGGCTTCTTCATTCTGCAGTGACTAACAATGTTACATATGATGTGAATGCCTTGGCCTTGGCATGGAAAGGCTTTATTAACTCGTTCTCGGCCAAGAGAATCTTGACAGACGGCCCGGTACTATCTTTGAGTTTGAAGCTTGAAGAAAAAGGTTAGTCAAGCGATTAACACGTCACGATTTGGGTAGCAACAGTTTAATGTCGGGTGCCTACGGTGGCAAACTGTTGATGAGATGGAGCCAGATGTGATGAAGGGATAATGCCGAGCTACTTACTCAATAATACACTAACTAGCAAGTAAGTTCCAACTCTGTTAAGGAAACTCGTAGGGCTATCCCTATGTTTATGTCTATTTTTCGTTAGTGTCAAGTCTGAGAGGGAGGTGTGAGCTTGGCTTAGACTGCCGTGGACAACCTATTCGACTACTGACAAGCACAGCCAAGTGACACTTAAAGTATGTGAATTCATAGCATTCTTTAGGACGACTCCTAGCTCGCATATAGAGCTTAAAGGACTGCCACACCTAGATGCACAAGATCTGTGCAGAGGCTGCCAATTTCTCAATCACGAGACCAAGAAGACGCAACCATTATGGGCCTCGGTCTTGTACCTATGCCAGTGCCCGCAGTAGCAGGTTCAAAGAGGCAATCTAGACCTAGCACGAAAGGCTTGCTCGCCCACCTCATGCTGGCACCCGTAATTTCTATTCCTTTCACCGTCCAAACAACATTTGTCCTGTACATGAGAGCGGTCGCTGCTCTAGCTTTCTCGACATGTCGTACAACACCTCGGTCTGGACTCAAGGCCGGCACCCGTGGTTTGCCTCCTAATATCACCAAGGCCCGTTGCTGGCGCCTCTGTGCCGAGGAAGCGGGCACGCGGATGTGATTGATATCATGCGCCAGTATCCTGATGTCGTTAGCATCACGGATAGAAGCAGCCAAGGAATAAGATGAGCTCTCAAGACGTGTCTACGCCTCCCTATCATTTTCACTCATCTAAACTTCTCGTTGACTCCTCACACGAGACTATACTTGCACCAGAGAAGTATAAGAGTATAAAAATAGGACATTAACCCTGAGGCTATTGTCCGCATATTAAGCTGTTTCGTGCCCACCATGGCTGGTTGGACACAGCAAGAGACGGTTCTGGGATGAAGGATTTCAGGACAGCATCATCTCTGGTGACTTTCGTTTTGCAGTTGAGTTTACTCATTTAAAGAGACCAGCTGTTAGTAGAGGGGTTTTTCTGTGTCATATCATGTCCTATGCTGAATCAAAGTGAGACCCATGGTGGGCGGCTAGTCGCCGTGGTCAGGAATGTAGACGTTTCAAGTATCCAAGTCCGGCTATAGGGATAGGTGATCAAGACATGTAAAGTCAAAAGAGAGAGAGAGAGAGTATTTTGCCAGTCGCGACGTTCCAGACTGGCACCACACTACACAAACTATTAGAAACTGTTTGCCAACCCATCACCAAGAATAGTAACCTAAGAGCAGCCCAACCGCCGATCTATGGCTTGATTGTGGTGGCGGCCACAGAGAGGATAGAGACACGTCTGGAAATTCACACCATCAAGCATAATTTAGTTTTTGACAACAAGATAGCCCACCAGCAGATTGCGTCTTTTCTCTGTCTGCCGTTGTCTGACTATGTTGCTGCGTGATTTATAACTAGATACAGTGAAAGACTCCAGCGACCCATAGCTATACTGTAAGTGATTGCAGTTATGTATATCACTCTCAAGATGTCTCACTTGTTTGAGAGGGGCCGCGGAGATGTTCCGCAGCAACTTCGTTTGCTTCATTTGGCAATGACAGCCCTCTTTACTTTTCTTTATCTGGCCACTAGAGACAATGACCTCAAGACTCAAGACTGAAGGTGAATGTTGCGCCTGCTCGCCTACGTAGTGAGATGGCAGCCGCGTGGGGACGGGCAGCATAGGCACTTCGTGGGATTCACTAGGAACAACAGGGTTTTCTATTTGAAAGACGGTGGCAAGACCTTGAATAACTGGCGCTCGTGTTAGAACGTGAAGTGCGGTTTGGTGTCAGGATGGCAAAACCCATCCAAGTCAATGCGACAGCTGGTACAGGATTCTGCTTGTAAGCAGACGAATACTTCGTGGAAACATGACATGGTTCTGTTCTGTACAAACTACATACATAACAATGAATCTGTCTTGCCTTCTTCAGCACTAGCAGATCTTCAAGGTCGTCTGCGGGTGTAGTATGGCCTGGAACCGTTAACTGACAAAAGGCACACACACCCTGTCAATTTTGGGTCTATTGCCGCAAATGAGTGATTCTGCATCACTGTTCGCATGAACTGCACGATCATGTTAAGCCAACACTTGCCTAGCACCACGTAAAGTCTTCAGCAGCACATGCCAAATCGAAGTGCAGACGACCTGGTGGGAGTGGTGATTGTGTAACAGAGGGCTTATTCTTCTCTTGACAATACACATCAGCTGGATGATACTCTCACTATGTGAGCATACTTGGCGTATTGCTTAGTGAGAATGCATGGTGCTATATTCGAGAAGTGAGATAGGTAAAATCACAAGGCGAGTTCATCGATCGAGGCTGGCAACGTCGGTTGTGAATAATGTGCAGAGTATCATCGGGGACGTGGACTTGGAGAGCTTATTTCACCACCCTCACTCATCCCGTAATATCGAGCAAATAAGGATTGCTGGATGGTTACGTACCTCATCATCGAACCAACATAAGACTGGGCGAAACTGCCTAAACCGAGGCGAACAGATCATGCTCCGTATTTTCTGACTGGTATCAATCAAAGCACGGGCAATTTCCTTTTTTACGCGTTTGTGGGCCCTTTGGCAATACCGGCAGTTGGTCTGATGAATAGGAAGCGGTCCTACAAAACAAGCTGGAGCATCAACTCGGCTGCATAGTCAAGACGGTTCAGAGATTTGTCGTAAAAGCTCCAAGGCTCAGTCAATCTGGCTGCAGCACTTCTATCGTGAACCGCCGTGGAAGCGGAACCCCCTTGCCGGTCATATCGTCCCAATTAGTCTTTTGAATACGGGCCCCCCCTGGTCCGGGGAATGGCGGCCGCACCCCTTGTTCGCATCCTGGCTGTGCCTGGAAATGGCGGACCCCGTCCAACCGGGAACACAGAGTCCCACAACGGCTGGTACGTAAGTTGCTCGACTTGAGAGTGGGCTGGCATCCCTGACCGACATTCCAGTGGTGGGTCGAAGGATGTTGCTGCAGTTAGAGAGATTGAAGGCACAGAGACTCGTCAGATAAAGTCGTCAGGGTGCGACACGGTACGAGTGTTGTTGGTCTGGTCGTTCATATTGGGAAATTATGGGAAGAGGAAGGATAAATGCGACTGTCGGTTCGTCTGAGGCGCGCGATAAGCGTTTGACTGCTAAACTATATACATTGGTCAGGGGATGAACATAACGTTATGCTTGGTATAATGTACCGAATAGCCATCGCATCATCCTGTCGCAACACTCACGCAGTTTTTTTTTATGGTATTTCAGAATCTGGCCGACAACTTCCCAGAGGCTGTACTAGGATGAGGTTTAAGCCTTGAACCCAGGTCGATCTCCAACGGTAGGGCTGCGAGGATGGATCTAAACATCGTCAAAAGATTGATGGGTCAGGTTGTGGTCACAACTAAGCACAGCACAGCATGCCCATGATCGTACATCTCCATGGATGGTAGTGCCGGGCAGGGTCTGTGACAGCCTTGTGCATGTTTGACAGCGGTCATGCCCAGGGCCATACAGCTAAAGCCCACGACGGATGAAAGTGAAGAGATCGTGAATCTTTAGATGGCCCTAGCAAGATCTTACTGGTGATAGCGACGGGCAGGAGCTGTGACTCCTGAAGCCATACTCGGTCGCTGGGAACATGTGTATGCGTGGGCAGTGTAACTTTACTGCTGCGGGAATGGAGTACCAATTATCAAAATGCATGATGAGGCTCCAGTTCTAAGATGAGCTAGGCATCAGGTGAACGTGTATTCGAGTGCAATGCGATATTATCATATGCTTCGGCTGTGCCTCGGAGGACAGTGGGGATACAACTTCAGTGGCGGCAATTGTAGATGCGCTGTTTGTTGAATTCCCATCAACGATGTGTCGCAACATGAGAACCCGCATGTTACTCTTGATAGTATGTATGTACTGATGGGCTAATAACACCACATGAGATATGGGGCCGTCACAAACCAGCACATTGCAACATCGAGGATGAAGCAGCAACTGCCACTAGAGCAAAGTGAGAAGGTCCCAAGGCCCATAGGCAGACTCGACATCGAACCTGTACAGTAACACGACCGAGGCAGCGAGGTTGGTAACAACGAGCTGTCAGCCGTGCATGAGATGGGAAATGAGATGTTGACAAGTTTGGTGTTTGGGTGACTAGGCGACGTCCTAAAATTAACTGACCCAAGTTAGTTTAGGACAGCTTCTGCGGACCAAGAAGGACTTGCACACACCACCACTCCAGAAGTCCCTCTACCTAGTCCCTTTAGGCCTTACACCACACTCCCCACCTGCACTGCATAAGCATCGGGACGCTTAGTGGCATGCACGCATGTACAGTACAGTAGACTACATGAAGCTGTGCGTTCAGACGTCGACAAGTTTGATACATGTGAGGAGAAATCAATGTACCTCGTCAGGTCGTTAGGCGAATCAATCGCGACCGTATATCAGGCACATGGACGTACTGCCATATTTGTGTATACAGCGATCGTAAGATAGTTGAGGACAGAGTGAGAAATGATCAAAAGGTTCAAGTCGGTTCCAGGAGACAAGGCTGATCTAGCGCAGTCAATTTACTTAATTACTATGATGACGATGATGCTGTTGTTGTTATTGGCATTAAAGGAAAACCTTGATGTTTGAGTCAGGAACAAGGAGCGGGAGGCTGTCCAAGTGCGGCACATGCTCAAGCCACTACTTTGACCGGAGTGGGGGGGATCCTTCCTTGTAATTAAGCCGTTGTCACCAGCCAGCGCCAGCAACGAGCCATTTACCTCAATTGAGATTTGGCAGCCAGCTAGTTAGTCCTAGTCTAAGGAAGGCGGCATCTTTTGTCGTTTGGAAAAGATTTCACCAATGCTTCGCTCCTGTCGCCATCCTTTCATTCGACAAGTCGAACGCTACTGGGTGCGCAGGTGAGGCAGGTACTCTGTACCTACCTCTACAAGGTACTTGTTCAAGCGATGTACCCGACATGTACCTGCCTAAGGTAGAAAGAGAAAACTCACCGCCGCTGTCGCTGTCACCGTAGGCTGTCGTCACTCTCTTAGGTAAATCCAGCAACAGTTGCACGGACTTCGTACATGCCGTGCTCGCATCACCTGTAGTGTTCTGTATCTCACGGTGAGTCCAGTGTAATGCAACACATGCTATCGCGAGAGCGAACACAACGCCCATGAACAAACGTAAATTGTGTAATATTTTTGTATTGTTGTAAAATGCTATTCTGACGAGGGGTGGGTCGCCGTAATAGAGGCGCCCCTCCTAAGATTAGAAAGATCCCCTTACCAGACCAGAATAGGTAGACATCGTGACGGTTCCGTAACTTATTCACCTAATTTATGATGGTTGGCCATTGGGTGGATATTGGTGCGTTTGTTTTGGTGTTGGTGGCCCTTTAGCTATCTCGTAACGTCGCTTAACTATCTGGTTTCGTCTTTGAACAAATTTTCCGTCAATGTCTTTCGTTCTGCGTGGGTAATGGCAGTTATTAATTGATCCCTCCATCACGGTCGTTGTAATTGTCTTGTGGTTTGCTGTAGGTAGTCATTTGATCGCTACCTACCTAATTCCCGATCCGATAAGTCGGTCCCGTTGGCACTTAGGTAAGGCAGTGGCACTTAGAAGCCAATCTTTAAGCTACATGCCACATGTGCGTCTTCCCTGCTTGGTTAAACTGTCATGGGTTATCCATTGCCGTGGGCTCTGGCAAGGGGGCTTCCCTTGAGTTCCCCTCCCCTCCAACTCCACATCCCCGAGTTGACGGACCACCCGTCGCTACCCTGGTCTCCCGCTCCCAGCATCCAGGTCAAAAGGTGCCAGGTTGTAACAACGGTGTCTTAAGGTTGAACGTTGACCGTTGACCGTTAAACCTTAACCCCTGAACTGAAGTTCCCTGTCAAGATGAGAGACCCGGTCGGTCAATAATCAGAAACTCTTGGTATTTAAACCGATATCAAACAATTGTAGTCTATCGATTGTTTTCAACCTACCTATGCACTTTCATTGCTATCAAATCGAGACGTTTGCAATATTTATTATCCAAATTGAAAACTAGATGTTTATTCTATAATTATGGGATGAGTGGTAACTGGGTAGGCAGGTAGATGGTTAGTTGATATTTAACTGGGATAACTCTGTGCATACAAACCAGCATTTTAAATCATCTTATTAGCATTAATATGTGTATTACCCTACACGTCTTGTTGGTAATGGTGTAATGTTACTTGTAAATACCTTAGCGCCTTTTACGCCTACCCTATGTTGAAATGTTGAAATGACCCTGCTTTGTCCTTTCATGGCACCCTTACACCTATCCCGGAACGTGGCTTGTCAGCTGCACGCACTCCCGCATATTCCTTGGTGTAAAAAAAAAACCGGGACTCGCTATAAGCTCTCACCACCAAAAAAGGGTTCAATTTTTCTTTGAACCCCCAGCAGCAGTGGCATTGCCCTAGGAGAAAAGGTGTCAGCTAGGCCACCCTGGTTCTCTAAAGAATGTTCAGAGAAGCACTCTAGAAGCAGAAACCAAGCAGGACAGCAAGGGACAGGCTTAAAAGCAGCTGATGCATCCCAAGCTTATAGTATGGGCCGAAGGACGATCACCAGCACCCCCAGAATACAGTTGACAATTATCTCATCAAGATTTGACCGGGATTCAAGAACTGGCTTGAGATGTCAATCAACCCATCTTGACCGCTTAGAAGGAGAAGTAGCGAGCGCCACATACGCAACACCCAAAAACATTTCTTGTGTGTCTTGAACTATACCACCCAGGCACTGACTGACTCTTGGGCTCAACCGTATCTTTGGAAAAAAAAAAAAAAAAAAAAAAAACCCGGCATAACCTGCTTTTGTTAAGCCTGCAGGCAAAGCACGGAGTTCATTTACCTCGACAAAGCGCTCGACACTGGTACATATATGTGTCGCAGCCTTCCTCACTGTGCTTTTTATATGGGCTGCTGCTGGCTTATACATCGTCGACATCCGTTCCTAGTTGTGTGACAACACTCCGTACATATATCATCAATCTGCAGCAGTCTGCAAAGCCCTGCTACATGGACATGCGCGGCACTTTAAGCCCCTGCCCTCGAACCATCTGCCGCAAAGGCTTGTGCCTCCCAGGTGTCGGGTTGAACTGGTAGATCTACTCAACCAATCCTGCAGTGCGATACAGTACAAAAGTTGGCAGCATTCATCAACAAGGGATAATCGCAAACAAAAAGTCTACAAATAATACTGATCGTGCGCGCTTGAAGCGCCGGTCAAATTGGCTACAGGTGTTAGGCCCATCAGTGGGTAAGGAGAAAGGACTGGTGGAAGCCATCAATCAGAGAGCACAAGTTTTCGCACATGCCCAAAGGAGAACACTAAAATACCACGCAATCCTTTACTTGCAAACACATCAGGATCTTCCCTCTGATACAGGCCATGTCATGTCAGGGCGGTCGGGTGTCTCGTCGGTCCCTGCTTCACTTTATTTCCCGCATCGACCGGCCAGACTTAGCGCTGACCCAAGATGTCTTTGACAGGCAACGGTCCCACCCAGATACCAACCGACACCATCTGCAAAGCTCACGACGTATGTTGTGCCAACGGTCCGCCAAGCTATGTTCATTTACGGCACTACCTAAGAGTGTCTAGGTAGGTACCTATGCTAGCCACCATCATAGTCGCAGCTCACCATCCCCTGCCCACACATGGCTGCCATCTGGTTTTTGTCTTGCTTTCCAATCCTACTAGTTTGCTGCTTGCACAACCTCATCTTCAGTCCTTAATCGCTTTGGTCTGCTTGAGCTGGTTAACTGAACTGTCCTCCTCAAAGTGGATTTGGGCAACAACCTAGGTACCACTTGCAATTTGCGTCATTACACCGTATACCTGCTCGATTATGTGATTGCTGCCCAGTCACTCCGTAATTCCCCAACAATTATTAGAAGTCGCTCCAGCATCTCGGACCCAGCCAAGTCGGGGTTGTCGTATCTTCCTGGGTTCAGACCCTGCTACGTATTAGTCTGAAATACCTTGTATGACTAAAGCCACAGGGTCGTCAACGTCCAGGGCTGGGGCAGTATATCTTGCATCGCTGCGCTACCTTGGCCTCTTGTTGTTGTTTTCTTAAACACTTTATCCCAGCTGCAACGCTCTGGCCTGTCACATCAACCCGACTTCTCGGCACAGCACCATTACGATTTTTACAGTGATCTCGAATTACAGGGATCCGCGCTCTCGGAACCAGCACGTGGAAAGACGTTACCAACAAAAGATTGTTTAGTTTGCCCACGAACCACTTGCGTAATAAAATATCACAGCCACACGAAGCATATTCATTCAGGTACGTAAAGGAACAATGATTTGATGTCGAGGCAGGTTTTCCTGTCGCGGAAAATTCCAATTCGCGGTTTACCTTCCGTGTTTTTGCTGCGAGCCGGTTTTTTTTTTTTTTTTTTCCACCTCCACGAAATTGGGACCCGCAGGGGATCGCTAGTGGCTACTGCACCTCCAAGGAGACAGCCATCCATCCATCCCTTTTGCCTTGCTTGCATTTTTTATTAATTAAATAAAAATGTACGGAGAGCGCATACGAATGATTCATCTCATTACACTTCAGAATACCTACATAGTACTGACCTGTCCTGCTACTAAAAGCATTAGACGACCGTCCTCTCTGTTCCCATCCTAGTTTACATTCTAAACCAGTCAACAACACAACACTTTACTAGTGCCACATTTTTGACACGCACCATCTGCTGCATAGGTATGTCACTCCTTTGCCTCAAGCTTTCCTTGCAAATACACACAGAACCCGAGAGTTGTATCCTGGCAGAAAGGTTCCGTTGGCGGGATATCTTCTGAAGCACTGAGTGTTGTTGTCACAGGATCAAGAATCACGCCACTTTGATTCTATCCAACAACGAAGATCCTAGTAGAGCAGACGCCGTGCGTTGTGTTTACTAGCCTAGCTCGACCACATTTTTTGCTCGAGACAAGTTGCTAACTAACCTTAACGATAGTTAGAAATCTCTGTTGATCTAATTCTCATGACTGCCAATATGTCTGCGAATCGTCAGATTTCAGGCGGCTACAAACAGGAGCCCGCCATGCATCCCGTAAGTACAAGTTCTCTCTTTTACACCATCACTATTATGCATCTCCAACGGGAAAGAACATCGGACCAGAGTGCTTGAAAAGTGATCATAGTACGGCCAATTCTTTTCCAGCGCAAGCAACAACTCGTTGCCAAACGCGTCGCGGCTACAAACGCGTTTGACAGACCCTGGTCACAGCCTCAAGTGAAGGCTGGTCACTATCAAAAGATTTCGGAAATACCAGGCTTTGACATACCCGTGCAATATACCTGTCGCAAGCTTGACCAGCTCAGGAGTCCCTAGGTGGACAAAGCAGGGTATTCTGTTTCACCATGACCGGGGCTCGCCCGCCGGCAGGGACCAGGGGAGGGGTGGCTAGACTCGCCAGCTTCGACAGAGGTGTGCTGATGCCAAACCCCCAAAAATTGGAGAGAGGAGAAGAGGCGGGACATTGCAGAATACTCTATTCGGCCTCCGGGTCCCAAATCGACGCCCAGCGACATTACAAGTATCAGCCACACCGTTTTGCGAGAACCACAAATGCCGACAAAAGCACGATAAAGGCAACAAACGGGTTATCCGAAAAACCAAAACCTTATGCTCTCCAACGGCTGTAAGAGATCGCGGTATTTGCGCACCACAGAAACGCCACCAAGGTAGAGCTCGACTCACATCCACCCAAGGGATGCGAGGCTGGCGAAGAAAGTGCGAGTGCCAGGCTGCCAATGAAAGCCCACCACACCAAACAACCCCAATCTCGTCAATGACGCGCCGCGGCTACGCGGACCAGCAGCCGGTGGATGATGCCTGAGAAAGACGCCGAGAAGGACACTTGACTCAGCTGAGGAGTCTTCTTCCTGTAAGGACGTTGTACGCGACCAAGGACATCAGAACGACAAAGCTTGGCAAACCCTGACCGCACTATTTCTGGTGGAATTGCCTGTGTGCACGGCGCTGTTTTCCCTGTGGGGCACTGGGCTGCAGATGCTGGCCTGCCCCTCTGATTCAGAGTTCCGGGCATGGCTCGTTAGAGAATACCGATGAGTTATCAAATGTCGACAGAACCGACAGAAAGAACGGGATGTGATGCGACGGAGGGCTGGACACCGCCTCAGCTATACTCTGTGACACTTTCTCCCGAGCGCGGTAGAAGTGGTGACGCACCGGGTGGACCTCGAGTGAGGGAGCCGACAAGCAAGCAGCTTCTCTCCAAAGCAGGCAAGCTATGATGTCTACATTCAAAGGATTCGGAGACTATCAATCTGGAAGACGGCCAGTACACGCGAGATCTCACGCGTCGACATGCGGTACACTGCAGGTACCTAGAGCCGGACGGGACTCTGTACACCATCGTTCACGCAGTCAGTGACCGTTGTGTGTCAGTCCAGTTAAAGCTCAAGTGCCCATTTTGGGGGCGGGCCAGCGCGAAGCCAGGGACCTTACTTGGAGATGGGCCCATGAAAGACAACGGTTGAGAAGCGTTACCCACACCGCCTGTGGCCAAAATAGGATCACCAGGCAAAAGCCAATCCCGGCGTATTCCTGGCCCGTTGACTAGCCCCGGCTCTGGTGTCCCCCATTGGGCAGCTACTCCTTTCTGGGCGCCTTGGTGAGGCGACCATTGGCCACTTAATCAAACCCAGCCGACCCCTGTCACGTTTCTTCCATGCGTTGTCCTCCCCGGAGACATCTGCCTGGCCTGTCGACACACGCTACGCACCAGTACCATAGACTTGCGGGTACAGAGGGCCAGGTTCGTTTCCTACACTCACCCGCGACCTCAAGTCAGTTGGCTTGTCACCCCTCCGTCCCCTTTTTTCCTGATTGACGGATGTGTCGAGATTTTTGACCGGGTGGGTGCATGGATGCAGTGTTCTTTTCTGGTTCTTGAAGGTGGCCTTGAGCTCCCACAGGCACACCACCCCACTTGCTCCGTCGGCCTTCCAAGTCTCTCTTTCTCTTACTGTTCAACTTATCTACACCCCCTCCACATTTGGTTCTGGTGTCGAGTCTGCAAGTAGCAGGAAGAGCACTTGTGTGGTTTCTACGGTGGAAGCTTGTCAACGCTCATCTAGGACGTTCGACTATGTTGCTGTCCACCGCTCTTGTCTTCCTCCCAAAGTAATTTATGCTCCTGGGACTTCTGCGACATGGGTACTGTCGCGGACTTGCGCACTTGCAGCACTCTCCTGTTATCCATGTTCATTTACCACAAACCCCTCCCTCTACAGCATTTCGCTCTAGTTGAACCCTGGCCTGGTCGCGCCCGCTCAACTGCCAGACAAGCCTCGTACTCCTGGTTCCCATCCGCTGGTTCGAGCACCTACCTGGTCTGCCATCCCGTCTACCAGCTCATTACCCTTGGTTCAATTGTCCATTTTCTGTTATCCACTTGAAATCATACCTTGTTCTCATCCCCATACTGCAATCTTGGTTCAAATACCCGCTCCCCTGCCCCTTCGTTTCCCCCCCGTCGCCCCCCCTCTAGCACACCCTTCCTTCGATCGATCTTGTCTTCTGGCGCTCCAAAGGCCTGCTCTCTTGTCGTTATTCCTAGCACACAAGCTTCTAAACTTCGAAACGGAGACGTTCTGGAGGTACCGATTACTGTCCTGTCTTGCCAACCATACCTGGCCAAGCGGTATAGCCACCCCCCTTGCTCCCCCCCCCGTGTTTTTCGCAGTAGTCCGCGAGAACCGGGTCGCTTTATCATCATTACCACTCCGAGCCTAGCCCGCCTCACCCGTGCAATCCCAGTCTTCACCAGGGGACATCCACTTAAACCAGCTCCCCAGACCTGGGCACTGGCAAGGGGAAAATAAAACACCAACGCGTCCTGGACTTTATACTATTTTCCTTTCTTTGGCCGTGCCTGACAGCTTCATCTTTTTACACGTCACGTCCATGTCTGACTAATGGGTCTTCTCTCTATGCAGCATCATTCACAGCACCAGCAACAGGGTCATCCGCCTTCCCAACATCTACAACACTCGCGACCCCCGAGTGTAGTTCACCAGCAGCATCACGCGCAGCCTCACCCTCCGCCGCAACAGCAACACCAAAGCGCGTACTCGTCGACTCATTCGCTCCCTCAAGGTTACCAAGCCAGTGGTCAAGCACCCAGCAATCAGGACAACCTCAACTATTACAACCACCCAAGCCCTTACAGCACCCCAGGTGCCACAAGCGGATACACATCCGCCGGTAAGTCTTGTTCTTGTTCTCTGGCTTTCTTGAGCTTCCGAATGCCAGGACGAACGTCGCGATGCCAATGCTAACATGACGCCGTTCAGATACCTCAGACATGATGGCCGCAGCACAAATGCCGAGACCTCCCTATCCCCCAATGTCCTATCATACGCCTCAGTCCAACTCTCCTGCTTCAGTCGCATCCCCTTCTCAACATGATCAGCACAGAAGCATCTATGGCCAACCACCATCGCAGCATATGCAGCAGTCCATGTACTATCAACCTCAAAACCAATACCAAACAATGCCCCCTCAAGCTACCGCATCGCCATATGCGCAACATGCGCCCCACCCTCAACAGTCAATGACATCTCAGCCCGCCATGATGATGTCTCAAACTGCACCTCAGAACCAGATGACCCAGCATGCTGCGCAGCACGCGCACGCTGGAATGACAGGCAGCCCTCGACCGAAGATTGAGCCTCAAGTGCCTCTCCAACTCCAGAAGCCACAGTCCTCTCCCATGCAACAAGCTCATCACCCTCAAAATGGTGGGCAACTTCAGAGCCCAGGAAACACCACACCTGGTGTGAACCCAAGCGCAGCTCCTGGACCCATCCCTGCCACGACCCCTCTTGTGGTTCGACAGGATGGCAACGGTGTCCAGTGGATCGCTTTCGAGTATTCTAGGGATCGAGTGAAGATGGAGTACACCATTCGCTGCGACGTCGAGTCAGTCAACATTGACGAGCTGTCCCCCGAGTTCAAGCAGGAGAATTGTGTCTACCCCCGCGCATGTTGCCCTAAGGACCAGTACCGCGGCAACCGCCTGATGTACGAAACCGACTGCAACCGTGTTGGTTGGGCTCTGGCCGAGCTCAACATCCCCCTTCGAGGCAAGCGAGGCCTCATCCAGCGAGCCGTGGACAGCTGGCGCAACAGCAACCAGGACCCTCGACTCCGTAGTCGACGAGTCCGTCGCATGGCAAAGATGAACCAGCGAAAGCAGGTTCAAGCTTCTCCACATCCCGGGGCCGCACACATGTCAGGCCCCAGCGGACCATCAGGGATGCCTGGCGGCCCGGGACCCATGGGACCTAGTCCCGCCTCCATGGGCAAGCCTGCACTCGGTAGCATGGGTCAACCGATGCACCACCACCAACCAGGAGCTCACCCCGACGGATCAGGACAAGGTGGACAGGATGAAGTTGGTATGTTTCACCAGATGTGATTGAATTTACGAACACCCTCATGTCTGTCTGTGTTTGCAAGGCCTTTCGGTCTTTGCTTCCCTACCCACCCCGAGTATTCGCTGCCCAACTTATCACACCGCACAGCCCTGTTTGACCAACGTTGTGTTGATTAATTGATACCAAACGCATCTTGTTTTCCTTATTACCGTACAAAAATTATTGTTTTACGGCAATGGCTGTGTTCATCGCGCCTTTGCAATTTCTGTTATTTCGGTTTGCGATTTGATTTTGGGAACTGGATCTGTTTTCTCCTTCTTCGCCTATCACTTGTCCAGGACGACATAGGCAGTCGTCACTTATATTTATACAGCATGCCACAGTGGCTCTCGAGGGGTTATGAGGAACTCTCTGTTTTTTTTTGATTGACACAGTTCTGTACATTACCATAAAGTCGCGCCTGCACAGTTGCTGCTGCTACTGTTAGTTGTTTTATTTGCCGCTGGGTTTCCGCGACTCTTAGACGAGTTCAATCTGCCTTTTGGCTTTAAAAGTTGCATTTATCGTTTGCTTTGGTTCAATTACCCAAAAGCTTTATCCCTTCGTTGTCTCGCTTCGTTATCTAAAGCTAGACACCTCGAGTTTGGTCATCTTTTGCTCACCTTCTCTCATCCGCCTCATCATCATAAACACAGCACGAAAGTATGTAAGGAGACAAGCTAACTCGGGCTGTTCATAGGCGATGGCAACTCGTACGAACACCATCACCACCAGGCTCCTACAGCCCAGAACCCTTCAAGTAACGACGATGTGAGACCAGCCCACGTATTTACTGGATATAACAGTCAGCCCTACCCCACTAGTGCGCCAATGTCTCATATGGCTCCTCATTCTGGGGGCGCTGTCCCAGCTAAGCGCCACAGCCGAGCCAACGCTGATGAGCCTGACGATCTTTTCCCTGATATCCCGGAAGCCAAGAAGCGAAAGTTTATCCTTGTCGAAGACAATGTGCGTGGATCTCGCCTCCGTGTCAGGGTAACCCTTGAGGGAGTTGATACCAATGAGATCCCGGATAGCTTCCGTAAGGGTGCAAGTGTCTTTCCTCGTAGTTATTTCCCACGGGAGATGCAAAGTCCTCCTCCTAGCGCGACTGGATCGCGCTTCTTTGGTGATGACCAAGACGATGATGGTATCGAGGAAACTGAGGGCCGTGAGTCCAGCCGTCGTGGAGTTAACAGGAGTGGCAAGGAGATGGTCAAGGTTCCCATGGGCGAGTCCACAGGGGAAATTGCCATTCCCCGAATGAGGAAGTCCATCCGAGGCAGGGAGGTCCGCCTTAACGATCTAGGCTATCGTATGGCCTGGCTCCAAAGCCGAGTCTTTGCCGGCCGAACTGTATTTTTGCAGCGAGCATGTAAGTTGGCAACTACTATTCCTGATAACTTCGATACTGACCATGGATAGTGGATTGTTACCGCAACAAAACGCGAGCTGCTATCGAGAGTGTTATGCAAGATGTCAAGACTGTTGCTCCTCACTATGAGACTCGCGCCGGCAAGAGACGCTGGAACGAGCGTATGCGACGTGGAGAGAAGAATGACGAAGAGTAAATCCAAACGACTTGTTGTTTGATCTCGTGTCGTCGAAAAACAAGAAACCCAAGCACTGCCCTTTTTGTTTAAACCGCACTATTTGCATCATCGATATTAGAGATTGGTTCTCATTGCTTGTCTGATATTCAACGATACCATTCTGCGACCGGATCTAATTGGGTATCCGATCTTCTTTTTATTACCCCAATTTTGTTCCTTTCCTGCTTCGCTTGCAACGTCGTTATTATTGCATACATGGTTTCTTTTTCAGTGTGTGTTAGTCAGTTCCTCAGGCTTTCATTTCTTTGAGCATCGAGCACATCTAAGGCACCCAGCAGCCCCTGTATATTAATGATGGAATGGGAGAAATGCGGGCTTCAGCCTCAGAGACGTACATACCGTTTGCTTCCGGGTTTGTCATCGAAGTGGCAATTTATAAAGGCGGCCTCCCAGTATCAACTGGTGCAGTCTGTAGATGGGGTAATCAAATATGGGAGCGAGCGTCCAAGGTTGAAATAAGAAAGGGGTTTGTTTTTTCGGTATTTGGTCGGAAGTCACCGAATGGCTATCTCTTGGCCTAATGCCATTCATGTATTTATTGTTAATAGAAATCATTGTGTTGTCACTGCTTGACTGTGTATCGTGTCGTGTATGTTCTCTCGTTCGTCGATGAGTTTTTCGCACGACTATGTTTTACTTGTTGCGTTATTAAGTAGGGATGTCTAGTGGCTTACCTACAACATATATATACTCTCGATAATATGTATCTTTACTGTACCTGAATTGAACCAACAATAAGCTTTAAAAGAAGCTTTTTGGGCTTCATCAAAATGAATCTTGGTAAGCCGCCCCTGACAACACGAGGTACAGAGTGGCGTTCGCCTTGGATATTCAGCCACAAGTCTGCCCACCCGTTCAGCTGAAAAGAAGCAAAGGATGTCATTGGAATGCAGGTGGGTATTTTTAGTGCATGGTTAATTCGAGACCCTGGCCTATGTCCCTTTCAGGAAAGTGTGCTCGTAGCTCATTAATTCATTGAATTACCGGTTACAAGGTAGTCACGCAGGCTAGTCAAGGCTGCCCACGAGGCGTTAGGCTGTCTACATTACCTGTACCGTATCTTCCTTTCACTCTCTTTCTCAGCCGCATGGTTGATGTCTAAAGTTCTCCTTCTCTCCTCGCGTTCGACATAGATAAACCGGAACAATTCATCGCACAGTCTTGTCACCTTTGACAGTGAATCATTAGTGGTCATTCATCACTAAAACTATGACCCAAACTCCTTACTATGGTGGCGGCCACTCGCCGCCCCTGTTTGTTGCTGAGCTTGATAGCCAGCCTGGACGTCCCAGCGATGCTCCATCCCACCATGGACCTGAAGGAACACCTGTATTTGAGATGGCGAGCGAACCAGTGCTTGTACAACAACCGCAGACTCATACTGCTGGCGAGGACCACTCCAACCCGTCTAATGAGTGGCCGGCACCTCTGAAAAGCCCAGCCATGTCCATATCACAGAGAGAGACCAAGGATGAGCCAAGCAAGGATGCGTCTGTTACGTCGCAGCCTGTCATAGCCAATCCCTGGGCATACTTTGGGCCCGAGTCGCCAGAGAGCAAGTTCAAAGAAACACAAACCGAAAACCGTCGTCCTTCAGAGCCTGTATACAAACCTTATCCTGGTAGTAGCGAAACATGTCCACCTCAGGTTCCTCAGAGCACACGTCCGGCTGCCAATGTTTCAACTCCCGACCTCACAAGTGGTGACAATACCTTCTATCCTGCGCCGCTCAAGCTTGCCCATCGTCCTGCCAAGCCGGCCTCTCCTCCAGCCTTTAAGCCGTATGCTCCCTCAGAGCCGCAGGATACATCGGATTTACTATCCAAGCCTTTGAGTAGGCCCGACAGGACCAACCCGCAGTCACCCACGACTCCAAGCTCATACCAGCCGTACAGACCACATTCACCTCGGCCTCCTGTTTATGCTACTCCGGCATCTGATTCTCGCCCGGCCACTACGTCGCCGCTCCAGAGTGCTCCTCTGGCGTCTCCTCCAGGCGTAACCCAGCAGCAACCTGACCCAGCTTCTCACCACTTCCATTCGACAGCATCTCCAATTCAGTCTGTGAACCTTCCAGCTACAGAGCCCAATCTACCGTCACAGCCAAGTAGTAGTCTTCCTACGTCTCCTAAGCCCCAGCCTGGGTCACAACCGCAGAAACAGCATGGGATCCCCAACGCCGCTCCGGCCAAGCCCGTGCCATCATCTGCGACCACCCACCTGCCTTCTCCTATGACCCCTTCGTTCCAGCAAGCTTTAGTAGTTGCGCCCTCACCAGCAACTCCTGCACCAAGTACAAGAGTGCCCTTCTCTCAACCACAGTATGCTGCTCATGTTGCTGTCCCCAGCTATTCACAGATATCCGCACCTGGTGCTAGCTCGTCTTCACCAGCAGTCCCAAACAATCCTGGATTGCCATTTGCTCAGCCGCAATACGGGGCTCCGGTTCAGGCTTACGACTATGGGTCGTGTCAGCCATCTGCAACCCCTTCTATAACTGCTTCAACAGGAGTTTCCAGCCCAGCATATAGTTCGTCTCAATTGTCTCCAACCCAACCCAGCGATGGTATTCCGCAGCCGATTTATGCGTCAGCTCCAGCGAGTTCAACGCCAGGCGGTATCAATCCCGCTTTGCAGCATTCGCCTGCTGTTTATCAACAAGTTGTTCATACAGACCCTACCGCTCATCAACCACATACCCAACAGCCAACTGCGGAATCGTATGAGACCCCGAAACCAACACAACTCCCACAATCACCGCCTCCTCCATATGCGCCTCAAGACACGGGCCCTGGAGTTGGAGCAAACCACCCAGCATCAAGCAATCATATGATGTACCAGCCATCTCCTATTGGCGCTTACCCTCCTCAACCCCAATATCCTACACAGCCATCCTACGCTCCGGCAGCAAGTCCTCCTCTACAGGGTCTCCAGCCTCCAGCACTTCCTCCACGACCTTCGTCTTCGCAAGGATTCGCACCATCATCTGGATTCGGTTCTGGCCCAACTGGCTACAATCCATCCAACTATCCACTACCACCTCAGACTTATTTCTCTCCTCCTCCTCCAGCTTTGCCAGCACGTCCTGGTCTTGGAAAGTTGGCTGGCGGAGGAGGAAAGATATTTGGCAGCAGCTCCGCGGATAAGTGGCTGAGAAAGACAGGACAAGTGTTGGAAAGCACACTGGCACCGTATTTGCAAGGGCAGTCGGGATCTTATCGACCAGGCTCACACGGCCCGCAAGGACAACAAGGGCAACCTGTACAGCAAGCTCCTGGACCTTACCCACACCAAGGACAATATTTCCATGCACCTCACTTAGCACCTCAGTTCAGAGGCGCACCAGAATCTGGACCACCACATCACGGGCCAGGCGCACCGGGATATTAGCATGCGCCAAGTCGTGTCCATCATATCTTAGCTCTTTAGCACTTAATGTGTGAAATCATCTCACGAGCAGGAATTTGGAGAGTCAGTTTTCCCTCTTTCTCTCTCTCTCTCTCTCTCTCTCTCTCTCTCTCTCTCTCTCTCTCTCTATATATATATATATATACACTTTTAGCTCTCTTCTGGGGTACTGCTATTGGGGTCACTTCTCTTTTTACAATATCTAATGTGATTCGCTAGCCATACTGTCGGCTCTTTGATAGCAGTCTTTGAATAATGGTTCGTCGCAGTTAATTCCAAGTGTTTGCCATAACCAACAATTTGGATAAAGACTGAAAATGGCTTCTCTTTCCACAATGTGGTATGATTGGATCTGTTCATAAATGGTGCGTTCTGATACTGCGCTTAATAGCTCAGCCAAACGATGTAGTATGCTGTCAATCATTATTGGTCCTCAAGGCTTGACCTCCAATCTATTTAACAACTCACCGCAAAACACTTGCGTATGGCATATTCAGCTGAGCTTGGAAGGTAGGTTTCCCATTGTCGAGTAGGTAAGGATATACGCCAATGCACACTGAGCTCAACGGTAGTTAATTGGATATTGAGCCTGGTGGTGGCTTTAGAGGAAGACTTCGGTGTGAGAACTGTCAAGCGTGTACACATCATGATAGAGTTGACATCATCATGAGTTGACAACTGGCATTACATCATGAGACAGGGAAGTGTTGTTCTCTTAAAGACGTGCTCACTTGGCCTATTCTTCCGGCATGAAGAAAATCCAATGTCTCTAGATATTCGTCTCCCTATGGCCACCTGTCATTTGATGTCTCTGATCAGATATTGACCCAAGTTTCATATGACGGTGAAGAGACCTGTGTTCGAGACCTTCAAGACCCTTCAACCCACTATGATAGCTAGCTACAACTGGTTAGATACCTGCCGGGTCTTTCCAAACACTTGCCGACTTGGGAAGAATTCCTTGGCCCTGTTGGGCTCGTCAGGATGAAGAGATGGACTCAGTTTACCGAGTACTGTACAGTTTTAATCGGGCGCAGTAGTTCATGTTTCAAACCTCCAAAGTTCAAGATAGACCATTTTCAACCATGTAACTTCTGCCAACGTTACCGCCATCTATGACATAATTTGACGCCAGCGAGGTGGCACGGCTACATGTGGTGTTGAGCTAGACTGGGCTGAGATGACTCTGGTCGCGGCCGCTCAGCGATGAATGCATTGTTCTGCGCCCGTGAAGGGTTTCATATCATTGTCGTGTAGAACCAAGCATGGGTACAAGTTGCAGTGCAGAAGAATTTGTATCTTGGTAGAGAAGGAAGAAATATTATTACGGATTGGGATTGTGTAGCCAGATAGAGCATTGATTAACGCATGATGTTACTGTAGCTATTTTCAGCTCATAGACAGCCATTACTGCAAGCCATCACGGACCCTTGCATCTCGATGTGACATTTTTGCAGGCGTATCACCTGTCACCTGATGGGTGACGGATAGGATGGGCGTAAAGCGGTCGAGGGGCGGACGAGACTGGTTACACTGCGTTGCTAGTTAAT